GGATCCCTTCAGCAATCACTCACAACTGGAAAAACAAGGAGACATTAAGGAAAAGCTGGCAGCGCAGGCAGGGTTTATGCAGGCTGGGGTGGAATAGCTGCCAGCTTGCTGGGAACTCCATGTGAACCTTCCTGGGCTTCCACATCTGCCTGCAGATCCAAGAGAGGTGTCAGGTGAAACAATAAGGGCGAGATGGAGAAGGAAATGGTGCACAGGGTGGGAGCAAGGCATGGCCAGGGCACTCAGTATCCAGCTGAGGTGGGAGCTGGGCTCTCTGGGGCTCAGGCATCTCTATTCAGTTATCTTCACCTTTAACCCACCAGACAAAATGTGCAGCTGAATTAACCCCCTAGGAAGCAAAATAAACACAGAGCCTGTGTGCAAACACCCAGGGATGTTTCATGAAAACAACTCCAACCCAAAGGCATTGTGCTGGTTTTCATCCCCAGCCTTTGATTTTGACACAGACTATGCCCTGCTTGCCCCCAGCCCCTGCCACTGCTCTCACCTGTGGAGCCATCCAGGCCAGCCCTGGTCCTGGGCACTTTTTCTGGAAGCATCCTCCTCCCCATGTGTGTCTCCTGATGGTGCCCACGGCTCTGCAGAAGCCCTGGAGGCTGCGGCGCTCACTCTCCTCGCCGTGGGCAGGGATGCTCTCCACAGCCTGCATCCTGCTCCTCCTGCTGCTCCCCCAGCTCCAGCCCTGCACCGACAGGCCTGCCAGCACCCACAGAGCGTGCATGGCTCAGCACAGCCGGGGAAGGGGTGCTGAGCTCTGGGAATGGTCTGTGGAAGCCACTCTCAGGCACCAGGAGCGAGCCGGGCTGGCCGATGCTGGCAGCAGCTGCCTGGGGGGGATCCTTCCCTGTGCTTTTCCACCCGTGGTGCCACAGGGCTGGCACACCAGCACTGAAAAATCCTTGTCTTTTCATCAGGGGCTTCGTTGACTCTGTCCCAGCCTCAGGGGTCCCTGAGTGCAGCCTCCCTGCAGTTCTCCTCTTCCCCGATTAAGGACCAGTAAATGCTGCTGTAAAGATGGTCCCTAGCAGCGCCTGGTCCCAGAAGGGTCCCAGTCCTGGAGCAGAGACAGGGTGGTGGCAGTGCCCAGGGATGCCCTCCTCATCCAGCCTCCCCGAGGCAGAGGATGGCTTCTGCACCCAGCCTTGCCTTCCCCACTGGGTTCCTCAGCCCATCTCTTGTGGCTCTGTCCCATCCATGGCCAGAGAGAGCACCGTGCCCTCTGCTCCCATCTGCCAGTGCATTAAGAAAATGAGAGCTGATTAAAGTCCATCCCCTCCCGAGCACCATTGGTCCCAGCAAATTGCTGACACCACCGATGTGGGGGCACGGCAGACAGGTGGACTTCCCTGTGCCCACAGACGTCCAGTTTCAGATGGGTTTGGGCTTGCTTGGGTCTGAGCATTTCCTATGGTCACAAGGAACTGCTTTAACTGCTGAAAATGAATGCATTAATTTGATTTTCTTTTTTTTTTAATTGCCTGTTAAGAGGTTGGTTCAGGCAGTGCCTCTCCTTGCAGCCCTGCTCCTCCATTGCACAAGGATGCCAAGATGGGATGGGAAGGAGCTTCTGTGTACCCACAGCACCCCATTAACCCACAGCACCTGGAAGGCCCCTGTAGCACCAAAAAGTCTCCTGTTTCTCTAGGCAGGCCAGCTGGAAAGCCCCATTTCCCTCCCATTAATCTCCACCTGCTAGCACTTTCTAGAAGGCAGTTAAGAACATTGAAACTGGGGAGATTTGCAAAATAAACAGCGATCAAACGCAAAGCCCTGGGTTCCTGCTCTGAGGGTGTCTGCCAAGACACACAGATCGTATCAGGCTAATTTACAAAAGGAAAACCGCCCTAATTAGTGTTCAGGAAAGCACTTTAATGAGAAGAGCATTAGTGCAAAAAGCAAGAGTGCCAAGAGGTCAAGCTGTTCCTAATGCCAGAAAAACAGGAAATAGGGCATAGCTGATCTCTGCCCACCCAAGCTGCAGCCCTGCTTTCTCATTTTTTTAGTAATATCTCAGGCTATTAGTGTGGAATTTAGAAAACCCGGAACGTAAAGCCCAGTGGCAGGGCAGAGCCTCCATGGGCAGCAGCTTCTGATCACCTCGATGCCAGGTGTGGGCAGGGCTCCATGCAGCCTCCTCCCCTCCTTTTTGGGGCAGAGCGCAGGTTTATGGGATTTCCCCTGCGAAAGGAAGAGCAGAAGCCCTGTCAATGCCAGCTCCCCTCCTTTTTGGGGCAGAGTGCAGGTTTGTGGGGTTTCCCCATAAAGGGAAGAGCAGAAGCCCTGTCAGTGCCACAGCCTCCTCTCGCTGCCGGCGGCTCTGCCGTGGCCAGTAACCATGGCAGCGGAGGGATTTGCACGTGATATTGGCATTTCTGCAGCACAAAAGAGCCTCTTATCTAGAATGAGTAACTGGTCCGGCTGGCCCTCATTCCTCTGCTAAGGCAGAGCATCGTGGGGCAGCTCGTGTGATGCTCACCGTGGGGCAAATTCGGACCATCCACGTGATGCTCACGCTGGGACACATCCAGATCATCCAGGGGGCTCCAGGATGCTCTGGGTGCTCCCCCAGCAGCAGTGCCGCTGCAGGAGGCAGAGCCAGCCCTCCCCACCACTGCTGGAAAATAGAGCTGGAAGGGAGCAGTGATCCTCCCGCTGAGCTCAGGTGTGCAAAATGAGCATCTGCAAACCGTGTGAGGCAATTTGGGCCACGCTGGCTGTCCCCAGGATGTCACAGCCCAGAGCTGGCAGGGGTGCTCCCTGGCATCCCCACAACCGGATTTATCTCACTTCCCCAGTTGTTTACATTTCTTCTCCAATTTCTTCCAGTTTATCCAAGAAAACAGTTTTGAGTCTTTAACTGTTTGACTTCCAGCTCTTCTCATGCCTCGAGGGACTTGTAAAAGCAGAGAAAACTGCATGAAAAACAAAGGTTTCTAGGCTTCAGTTCTTCAGATGATCAAACCCAGCTCACTGACACTGCACAGATCCCCCTCGGACATTCACCCTAGGGCATGAACCAAAGTGGGCAAGTTTCATCCCAAAACCAGAACAGGTAAATGAGGAAAGAATGAGAAAGGAAAAGGACACTAAGCCTGAGCTCAGCCGGAGCTGCTGCTAACAAGAGCTGTCATGGGCATCCCTTGGTTGTGAGCCTCAGTGTGGCCCCTTTCCAAAAGGTGGTCTGGTGTTTTTTCAGGGTGTTAACTCCAGTGGGACCATTACTGCACTGAAAAGGAGCTGTGTGCTCAGAGCAGAGAAAAACAGACTTGTATTAGCTCCATTTTAGGGGAAGGTAAAAGGGATTCAGACAGATTTATATGCAAGTGTCACTCAAAGCAGAGCTACACAAAGGAAAATATATATATATAGACAGAAAAAGTGGGTTACAGACTGTTCCCAGAACTAGGAGTGTGTCCTGCTGGCTAAGGTCTGCAGGTTTCAAGGTTGAAGGGCTTAATTTTATTTCAAGCTTTCTAATTAAACACCATTTAACTGGGCTTTCCATTTATCCTGCAATTTCTTTCTGGACCTGAGTCTAATCCCCAAACCTACTTATTTGCTTTTACTTTCGTTACAACCTTATCAGTGATTAACCTGCAATTGCACTTAATCTTTTTAAAAGATTTCTCTGGCTATAAATACAGAGAAGCTACCTGCCCTGTTTCTGTCCAGGGGAAAAATAACTTCCTCCTCTCTCAGATGTCTGTGGTGGGTTGTACTATTCCTTCTGTCAGCTGATTTTTCTAATGGGAGACATTTGTCTTCTCTAACTTCCTACAGAACATTGAATCAGCATCAGTTCTCTGAAAGACACAGGCCACAAGGAATATGAATACACCCCCAGTATAAAGAAAATACATATATAAAAATATAAACAGTATATATAAAGCCTCCAGTAAAGGTGCCACTGGTGACAGTGAGGCAAAACCTTCCACATTCCTACAGCTCCAAAGACAAGCTCTGCTTCTTCCTCCAGCACTTCTCTATTCCACTTATTTCACTAAAAAGCAGCAGCAGCTAAAATATCACTGCAAGAAGACCTGGTTTCCATGGCAATAAGCAGCTGCCTGTCAAGATTCCCCAAGTACTGCATTAATACAAGAGAGGATCTCATATCAGATCGACCCAAGACTTAAGGACATCAAGAGGAGTGAGAAAAGCTAATGAGAAATGCAGTGAAGGTACATGGAGTGTTACCAAATCCATCAGGAATGTTCCAAGGGCAGTGGAAGGAACACCAAGTGATGAGTGCCCTCTGCAAGGTATTTACTGGAACCAGTGCAGAGGGAGCCCATTGCAAACACAGCAAAACTGGTAAATGAATGGAATTTGAGAGTTCAACAGAAGAAAGCCAAGCCATGGCAACCCCCAAAACAAGAGGCACTCAAGTCTCTGTCCTCTGTCATCTCTAAATAGTCCTGCAGAGCAAACAGACCTGAGCTCAACTCCCCAGCCCAGCCTGCAAGTCTAGCCCTACCTTGACCTTAATTATTACCTGGAGAATAATCTCTCCAAAGAACTAAAGCCATAAACAGATCACAGAGAAGGATAATTTCCAGAATTACCAGTTGTGTATCCATCACCACCTCATGCTGCCTGTTGAAAACTAAGATCTTCAAGCAATCTTTGCTATTTAAGAAAGTTTTTTTCCCCTCGTATTGGTGATTGGCACATTACAATTCTACTACCAGTATTATGTGACCTCTGAGCCTCTCAATTATTTATTGAGAAATCTGAACTGCATGTGAGGATTTTCTGGCTCTGTCAGTGCATGAGTGAGCAAGAAGTTGAAAAACAGCTGGAATGTTGAAATAAATCCACACCAAATAAATGGTAATCTACATGGTGTTTATTGTAGATACAGTGAATTATGAGAGCAATTACAGCCCATTATTTATTTAAATGCTTCTTCTAAAGAATATTAAATCATAGAAGTAAATCAGAACCCCAGTTTGATTCTTGCACTTTTCCTGGTTTGATTATATAAATATTTAAAGAGTGCAAAAAAACCCCAACTTTGCACTCCCTACCAAAATCTTCTACCTGGCAGGAAACCACTTGCAAATGACTGAGGATGAGAAGCATTTGGGGAGGTTTGGGCGAGTGCAGGCTCTCCCCTGCAATGATGGCTTCAGACCCTCCTGCAGTATAGTGGAGCTCATTACATTTGTTTAAAAAGAAAGCAAGACATTATTAACTAATGCTAACATCTATTCTGGCTTTATTTTTTTTTTTTAATTTTTTTTTTTTGCCACAGAAACCCATACATTTTGCAAGAGAGGGGGAAAAAGCAACAAAAGAAGATCCCAAAGGAGGTGAAGGTCAGCCCTGGGCTGCTGATGGGAAGAGGGATCACCCAGGGGGTGACACCAGCACTGCCACCCTTCTCTGTGTCACAGCCAGACCTGTGGAACCTGCAGCACTGCTCACTGCATTTGCTGAACACATGGGAAGTCCCTTGGCCACGGTGACAGGGCTGCTCCCTGCAGCAAAACCTGCCCCAACTTCTCCTCCAGAGGATGGAAAGTGGCTCCTCTCGATGCAGCCAGTGGTGCTGTGGGAATTTGGGCAGCCAAAAACTTGGGGAGGATCTGCAAACCTCATCCAGCACCACCTCATGCACTGCTTCTCACCACCTCTCAGCTCACCTGCAGCTTGCTCTGCTGGGTGCTGGCTTTGAGGAGGATGAGGAAGGAGCTGGTGGTGCTGGAAGAAGACAGGACACCTTGAGCCATCAGCTGGGTGCTGGCTGCTGACCAGATGTTTGCCTTCCCCTCCAGCACCCGCTCCCAGCACAGCTGGGAGAGTGACTTCATGGCTTCAGTGACCAGCAGTACCAGAGTGGCTTCTCTCTCCGTGGGAGATGTGGCCAAGAGCCAGCCTGAAGTGGCTGAAGGGCTGGGAATTGCCTGCTGGAAATGGGGATGCCACTGAGGCCCAGCAATGAGTGCAGGGGAGCACCTGCATGCTCATGCACTCTTGTTGGCACATTACAGGCTCTGAGCTGACTCTGAAACACTGTCTGGGAGGGGAGAGCACTCAGTGCACTTCTCTTTCCCCTCCCAGCTGGGAACCAGCTCAGCTTCTCCCTTCCTGCTCTCTCTTTATCCCTCCCAGCAGTGGCAGCACAGAAAAATCCCAAGTCTGGAAAAGAACTCCAGGAACATCTCATCCAGGATTGTGCTTCTCCATCCTTGGAAGATGCCCATCAAATCTCCCCATAAGAGCCCCCAGGAATGGAGAGTCCACCACCTTCCCAGAGTGGACAGCTGGAAAGAATTCTTCCCAGTGGCAAAGCCAAGGGGGTCTTGGCACCACGAGAGGACCCTCAAGCATCTTGCAGCCTGTGCACTTGGGGACAGAGCTTGGCATTCTCATCACAGCTTGATTTGTGAGCAAATCAAGCTTGGCCTGTGAGCATAGTCCACATCCTTTTCAGATGAATCACTCCCCACTGCTGCTGTCAACCTTGAGCCCAACAGAGAAACCTTGTTGTTTTTTTTCCTTGGTTGTTTCTAGCCAAGTGGTGACTCAGCTGTCAGAGGTGAATAACTCTTCATGCTTTGTCTGAACACTCATTAACCATCCAGAGCCATAAAAAGCAATTTTTCCATAGCTCTCCCTCCACAAGGCCAGATTTCAAAGCAAGAGGGCTGACCTGAGATTTAGTGGGAAATTCATAAAGGTGCTCAATGGATCTGCAGAGTGGAGGAACCTTATATGGTTCTGGGTCAAATGGCAGAGGGTTTTATCAGCAGTGATTGAGGGTCTGGGCAGAAGAGAGAGGCAGATCCTACCCACAGCACATAGCAAACCTACAGCCACTGCATGGAAATCATTAACAACAAAAATCTGCTAGCCCAGGCATTTGCCTGACTCCTACGCCTGCCCTGGGACCTGCTGCTGTTTCATTGCTCTTCTTTTTTTTCATCTTTCTCTGAAATCTCAGCAGCAAGGATTTCCTCATCTTCTTTTGCTGTGGAAATCACACGAATGGTGACTGAATGATCAGAAGATTCTGAGAATATTTCTCCTCCCAGGCGGGTTTGTGCTCTGTGGGATGTGACAGGCGATCTCTGGTGCACTGGTGATTTTGGTGGGGTTGGGCTGACACTGGAACCCTGCAATAAAAAGTTAAAAAAGACACAAAAACAACCTTAGCAGATCCTTGCCCACTATCCCTGACATGGCAAAGCTGGACAGGAGTTCTGTGGTTCCACCACAGGATCTCTGCAGTGGGATGTCAGCTTGAGGCCAGAGATGCTCCCTGCAGGAGGGGCTGCTGGATTATATCCTGCATGTCTTGAGAAGCACAGAGACAGGAGCACAGCAGAGCTCTCCCACATCTGCACTAACTCTTGGTTTGCTCCTGAAGCTTCTGGAGGGGCCAAACCTGGCACTAGTGCTGCTGTGAGGGAGCAGTCCCAGCCTGCCCTGTCCTCCTTTGGAGAGGAGCCTTAGAAGCCTGCCCCAGGGATGTGCCAAGGAGAGGGATTGTCAGCAGGGTCCTGCTCACCCACTAGTGGGGTTATTTCCCAGTTAGTTCCCTTGTTTTGCCTCATTCAGAGCCCTCAGTGCCACTGCTCACTGCTGCTGTTAGCTGGTTATGGATTAATGTTAAACACAACATTGTTTGAAGCCTCTCGTGCCTCTGAAGGGCTGCAGAAATGCAGCAATGCTTGGCATCAGCCTGGTGTTTACCCAGCCTCAAGGTCACTGCACTCCCTACCAGCTCCTCCTTCCCCTCCCTCTGCACATCCAGATGTGATACGTGTGCCTGGTTCCACGCTGAGAATAGTAACAACAGGCTCTGCACGGAGACAAAACTTTCCTTACAAGTGTAGCTGAGACAGCTGAAACAAAAAAAGGGGAAAAAACCACAGGGCCATTTTCCTTTTCAGCTGCTCATGGCAAAAAGCAAGGGGTTCCTGCAGAGGTGGCAGGATGGCATTGCCTGCTGTGGGGACCTCTGTCCTGGCCACCTGGGGAAAGATTTGGAACATCACCTGGGCTGTGGGTGCCCCTACCAGTACCTTGATTAACTGATTAACACATTGATTAATTATTAATCATAATTATTAATTATTATTAATTATCCTGTTTCTGCAGGATAGAAGAGACATTCATTCATTCATCTGTGGCTACAGCCTAGCTAGAAATTGAACTCAGGCTTAGCACAGGCAGGAAAAAATTTAACGTATTTCCCTTTTGTACAGCAAAACAAATTCCTGTGGGACACTGGCACTCCCCCAGACCTGTGCAAGATGCTGGGTCACCCCAAATTCCTGTGGGACACTGGCACTCCCCCAGACCTGTGCAAGATGCTGGGTCACCCCTTCCCGTCTGCCCACGCTTTGACAGACCCCAACATGCTGAGCTCGGTCCTTTAAGGCACGCTAACCCCTGCAGAGCTGGTGGGGAGAGCACTTTCGGCACCTAAGGAAGCAAAGCCGAATCTGTGCGCTGCCCGTGCTGACCTGCGCCTCCTGCATCGCCTGCAGCTCCTTCAGCCTCCAGCGGAGCCGCCCCAGGGGCTCCTTGCCCCCCATCCTCCCCGAGGCAGCCAGGGCAGCCCTGAACAGCTTGGGGGTCTCAGCCCTCGGGGGGATGACCAGGGCATCTCCGGGGCCTCCTTTCTCATCTTTGGGTTTGTTGTTGCTTCTCAGCATTTTCCTGCAGCACGGAAAGGGAGAGGCGGTGTCAGTCCGGGGCAGGTGATGTCAGTCCAGTCTGTTAGCTGGGTTTTATAACCGAGAGAAACCAGGCGTTAAAAGCACAAGGAGCTTTGCGCGTCTCAGGGAGGACAGAACAACAATTCTAAGCGATGCTTAAAACTAAACCGAATCTTTACACAGATTTTTAAGCGAAGGCACTTGGACCACGCTCCTTGCCCAGCTCCACCCAGTGCGAGAGGCGAATTTCGGCAGCCGGAGCCGGGGGCAGGGTGCCCTCTGCCGAGGGCCAGCGGCTGCAGCCCGGCCGGGAGCCTGCACAGGAGCTTTCCCAGGGCTTCCACAGGGGGAAAACACCCCTGGGAGCCAGGCTCTGCTCTTTCTAAACCCCCGCAGGCTGGGAAGCTGCAGCCCAGCACGCACTTGGCTTTCTTACGCAGCAGCTTCTGCGACTCCGGGTAATGCACCAAAATCTCGTTCAAGTCTTTCTTCTCCAAAATGAAAAGGTTGGCGAAGCCGTGGGCCACGACGTTTGCTGTCCGGCGATTTCCCCCTCCTGCCGCCAGCAGGCTGGGAGAGACAATGCAGGACATCAACACCTCTGTTCACAGGCTCAGAATGGCAAATCTTTACCCGTCTGCACCTCTCTCTTTCAGGGGACTCAGAGTTTAATTTTCACTCCTGGTGGATTTTATCATGCACAGTTTTTAAAGAATATATACTATATATTCTACTATACTACAGTAGAATAGTATGGTATACTAAATAAAAATATAGTACTATATAGCATATATAGTAATATATGAAAATTATTTGCAGGTTTGAAGGGCTAAATAGTGCATTTTACACCAGTCTAGTGTCTGCTGGGCTGTGGGAAGGCAGCAGTATTGCTGTGTTACCGACTGGTACAGGGCTTTTCATTCCTGTGAAAGGGCTGGATTAATGACTGGGAGACTGTATTTGTGAAACACCTTTTCTGATCAATTTTCCCATTCCTCCATCCATACTCCTCTGTTTACCATCACCAGCTCCCCAGGCAGAAGACAATATGATGACAAAACCAGCAGGAAAGCTATAATTTGTGTCTGAGCTGCTGCCCAGCGTTTGTGCCTCTCAGTCACAAAGATTAATTGGGATGCTGCTGATCCTTCCACTCCCCACCCTCCTCACCCACAAGCTGTATTTCCCCAGCTCCCTGAAAATGCTTCTCTCACCTGATTTCCCCAAAGACAGATCCAGCTTTCAGTGTCACCAGCACGGATTTGCCGTCGGGTCCCCCCAGCACCTGCACTTGCCCCGCCTGGATGATGTACATCTCACGGCCTATTTCTCCCTGCAGGGAAGGGGAGAGCTGCCTGGGATGCCCAGAAACAGGGAGAACTCATGGCTACCCCGAGCAGCACCTTGCTGGAAATCCCCATGACCATACTGCCCTCTCCAAGCTCCCAAAATGTCTTGATGGTGCTCCCTCCTGAGCATTCTCACTTCAGCATCCCAAAGACCCCCACAAGCTTTCCCCGGCTCTTCAGAGCTGCAGTCTTTGTACAAGACCAGCTGCCACCGAGGGGGTTTTTGCTCCAAATCCCCTCCCTGTGAGGTGGCTCACCAGGGTGATGGGCCTCCTGCCCTGCACAGCCTGGCTGTGACTCCCAAGCATCCCCTTACCTTCTTGCACACGTAGTCGTTGGGCAGGTAGACCACTGATCTGAGCCGCTTCAGCATGTCAAAGATCATCTGTCTGTCACAGCCCTGAGCCCAAACAGAGCCCAAACATGCCAGCATGAGTCTGTGCTGGCGTGGCAGGCTGTGCCAGCCAGGGCTGTGCTGCAGAGGGTACCTGGAAAAGGGCCACTTTGCTCACGATGTTGTAGTTGACATCGATGGCGATGTCCAGCCTCATCTTGTCTGGCAGCTGCACCAGCAGCTCTGACTCATCTGTGAGACAAAGCAGAAAAGTGGCTGCTTCCAGCACTTGATCTGAGAGTGTGTCCTTCATTTGGCAGTGGGGAAGCAGCCCACATTGTGGTGGCAGAGGGCAGGAGCCACCTCACACAGAAGGGTCTCCTCCAGCCTCTGCCCACCCAGCAACCTGCAGGTCTAAATCTGAAGTGTGATGGAAAATCACCCTTTGTATTATCCCTGCCCTGATGGCTCTCAGAAACAGACCACCGAGCCCAAATCAGCATTTTTCCTGTCCAGGAGGGTGACACAGAGGTTCTGGTCCTGCCTGATGGCTCACTGGTAGGGTGAGCTGGTGGCTCTGCTGCTGGACACGCTCTGGCTGGTGATGGACAGTCACTGTCCCCTCTCCAGGGCACGTGGGACACTGGGCTCAGTGTGCTGTGAGTGATGCCAAGTCACCACAGTGCTGTGACCCAGTGGCAGTCTGTAAACTCCATAGGTGGGCAAACAGGCCCCTAGACTGAAGAGTAAAGTAAGCCACCCTCCACCCCTAAACTGTAGTGCTGTTTGACAGTAACACTTCAGCTCTGCAGAGCAACCACATGAGACAAAACATGAGATTCTAGTGTTCACCCTTGGAGTGGCTGGATCTCACCTAGCATGCCTTGGGAGTGCCATGTGTACTCGTACCACGTCTTCACCCTGTTCTGAACTGCTCTGGGGATCCTGTAGAAGTTCATGTATTTGATGGTGCTGTCCATGCAGCTCCGATAGTAGGTTTGTCCTGCAGTAGCAGCACCAACCACGTCTCTCATCTAAATGGAAGAGGTGGAGGAGAATTTTAAGTTGCTTTCACTTCACATCAGCAGGTTAAGCATGTAAGCCAAGCCCTACCAGCATCTGCCAAATCCTTTTTGTTTTGCACCAATGCTGAGAAGGTCTTCCCATGGGGAAAACAAACCCAGAGAAGCAAACCTATGGATCAAATCCACCAAAACCACCCCCACCTGAGGCTGTAAATCCCCCCTGACTCCAACTCACCTGCCCTATCATGACAGAGAAAGCAAAGACCCCTGTGAAGTAGTTCAGCAGCTGGAAGACGATCTCAAACAGTGTCTTGGGGTCTGGCAGGCCCCCGATGGTGATGAGGGTTTTCACTGCCCAGTAGTAACAGCGGATGTAGCTGGGAGGAGAGGAGGAGAAGAGGAGGCAGCTCTGAAGGCATTTCTGTTTCACCCCTCAGCACTGAGCTCACGGCCTCTGGCCATGGCAAGCCAGAGCCTGCTGAGTAATTATGGATGACAAAAGGAAAAACTGAAGAGCTTCAGACTCCCCACCACACCTGCAGGTGCTTCTGGAGATGCTACAGGAGCAGGGGAACCTGTGGTCCCTCCAGGAACCTCCACCTGGGAGGCTCAGCTCTGGTTACTCCTGTTTTCTGCTCCTCTGCCATAAACCAACCACAAATTTTCAGCCACGTTTACACTTTTAGAAATCATCAGGAGAAAAAATGTGTTTGTGAGCGAATTGTTGGCATGGGAATTAGGAGAAGCCAAGTAAATTCCTGATTCCCTGGTCTTGGGCATTCCCTTGGGTGTTTTGTTTCCACCTGAAGATGGACACAGATTTGTATCTCATACAAAATAATTCTAACAGCAACATTTACACAGGTGTGGGCATTCACCTTGTGAGCCAAGGACTCTGCCTGTGGCAGTGCAGAGGGCACAATTAACACAGGTATTGCCATGGTGAGGGGAAGGGCTGGCCACTGTCCCCATCTCACACCTGGCTGGCCCGAGGGGTCTGGCACAGGGACACAGAGGTCACTCCTCCATCCCAACCTGGCAACAGCCTACACAGACAGGAACAGGATTCATGCTTTGAATGTCTCCTGGTTGGCCAGGGAGCATTCCTTTGCTTCCCAGTACCAGGATCCCGCTTCTTCAGCCCCTTCAACCTGCAACTGCTTTCCACCTCTGCCCAGCTGCAGCCTCATCTTGCAGCACTGTGCATTACTGCACATCCAATCCCTGCTGTCCTTGTCACTCTCCCTGGCTCCACAACTTCTCCTGGCACTCCCAACCCTCTGCTTCAGGGGTTTTTATGAATCCAGCTGCATCCCAACACCTCCCTTGTTGCTCCAGCTCATCGAGCAGGCTGTGCTAGGTGAGACCCCCAGCCCTGGCCTGTACCTGTTTCCTTCCCCATCATAGACCCAGGTGGTAGAGCCCAGTCCTTCATAGGCTGAGGCCCAGTAGTAGAGGCAGGAGTTCACATGCAGGCTGTACAGTAAGTAGGCAGTGGTCCGAATCACTCTGCAGAAAAACCAGGAGAGAGCAGGAAGGGAGGTGATGTCTGCTGGGGAAAGATGTCAGGTTCCTCCCTGGGATCAGTAGGAGCCTTGAAGTGGTGACCTTACAGGTGACAGAGCACCCCAACCCTGCTGCTGCCTTCTGCAGCTCCAGAAGTGCCAAGAAAAGCAGTTTATTATGGCTCTCCTTCACTGCCAGCACCCCGTCCCTGTGGGTTGGAGAGAGGTGACCCTACCCATGCAGGCTTTGGGACCCTGATGTCCCACCACATCAGCCAAAGTCCATGTCAGTCAGTCCAGGCACAGCAGGGAAAGAAATCACGGGCCCAGAGCAAGTGCAGAATGGAGGGAACCTTCCTCCCCAGAGGCAAACAGCAATTCCATCCTCCCCCCCATGGCCCTCACCTGTAGATGTATGCCTTGGTCAGGATGGCCTCCAGGCGGCTGTTGAACTCGAAGAAGGCCATGTACTGGGGGAGAAGGAGAGCTGCATGTTCCAGGCTCCCCTGGGAGAATCACTTCCCCATAAACCCCCTTTGCCCCTCATTTCCCTCCTGCAGCCCCTCTGCAGCATGGACTGCCACAGGTAGATTTGTCTCCATCCTTAAGTGCCCTTCTAGTCAAATGTGAGTAGTTTAGGATTGAAATTAAGTGTGTGACCAACAGCCCTGCAAAGCCTTTGGGACAAAACTTCTCTCCATTTTATAATCCTGCTGTCATCATCGATGAGTCTGAGCAGCACAGCTCACCCCAGGCAGCAGACGACTCTGTGCCCACTGCAGCTGCTCTTCTGCCTGATTTTGTGAGCCCTGACTCACCTTCAGACAGCGAGGGAAGCGCAGCAGGGGGTTGACACCCACTTTGAAGTAGAAGAAATCCAGGGGCAGCAGGCACAGCACATCCATCTGAAATCCACACAGGGAGAAACCTCTGTGGGGACCTGCAGGAGCCCTGGGGTGGAGCTGAACCCACAGGGCAGATGGAAGATCCAGATGAAAACAGAAAATGTTGACAAACCTTGAAGCGTTGTGATCGCAAGTAATTCTCTTTCATGGCCTTTTTGTCAGTCTGGTGGGGAGCAGGAAGGGGAGAGAGAAAGAGAGAGAGAGAGGAATATTGATTATTGCTTAGAGGAAGGAAAGCTAGGGCCAATGTGGTCATGCCTGGCTTTCCTCCTCTGCACCACAACAGGGAAGATGCTCCCTTTGTGCCTGGAAAGGGGAGAAGAGCAAGCAGAGAAATCCTGGCTGTATGCCATCTTCCCATCCTACCTTGGGATATCCTGTGTTGATTTTGCATCCCAGGAAAAGCATCAGAGTGCCAGCACCACAGAAATCAGCATTTGCAGGGGAAACTGCCTGTCTGAGCATCTGCATGGGCATGGGAAGGCTGTACCCTCAAGGTGTGATTTTTCAGATTGTTTAATTGAATATGGAGATGAAATCAAGGGCTTCCCTTATCTCAGGCATGTGATCTGTGTGTTCAGATTGCCATTGCTAATGCATCCTGCCTGGTGTGCTCCTGAAAATCAACCCCAGAGTTTGTTACACCCATGCCCAAGGCTGGCACCACACGGCTGTGCCAGGGCCAGTCAATGAGCACCTCACCACGGGCAGAACCACCCCATGGAGCAGCACCCTGCAGGCATCCCTACCCAGCAGCAGGAAGGGCACACAGTACTGGAGAGGATGGTACTGATTTTTTAGGGGAAAATGGGAAAACTGATGATTTTAATGGGAAAAAAGACTGCTGGCTTATGCAGTCAGTGGTCTCTGGGAGTGGACAGAGCACTGATGGCCATGGCCAGGGTGAGAGAGCTCAGTCCAGAGGCCAGCAGCAGCCGTGTCCCTCAGGGTGACGGGGATGGGAGGTGCCCCAGCTGGTCCCCAGCGCTGGGATGCAGTGCCCTGCCACTCACGATGATGTCTCCCCCCTGCACGAACTGCAGCCGGGTCTGGAAGATGAGGATGTCCAGCAGATAAATGAGGTCACAGAGGTAATCCACCAGCAGCCAGTAGTGGATGTTGGCTGCAGTCTGGTAGGGGAAGGCCCAGCGGACAGGGATCAGCCAGCAGTTCCAGTTCCAGGCCATGACCACGAAGAACAGCCACAGCACATACATCAGATCTGCACACAGGGAACAGCACCACCATCAGCTGGCACACATCCCTCCTCTGGGAATCCTCTACACAGAGGGGTTTCCATCCCCTGACCTGCCCTCAGCACAACAGGAAAACCTGCAGGAAGCCTCTGGGTGACAGTGTTTGATTGCAGCTGGGCTCTAGCACAGAGTGAACACCCCTGGTCACAGAACACACCTAGAAATCTTCTTCTAACTTTGCTCATTCAGCTATATTTGCTTTTGCTCTGCTCCCACAACTCAAACTTCCCTGTTTCTCTTTTTCCCCTCCAGCCATGCTGAACTGGTGGCTGGCTGCCTGAGCCCAGAGGCTTCCAAAGGACTGAGGAATATGAAAGACTAAGGAAAGAACTGGGCTTCTGTGGGGTGGCCACAAGGCAGTGGAATCTTCTTTTGAGATTTTAATTTTTTGGGAGGGTATCCACACTACAGGGAAAGCAGAATGCCCGTCCTGCTCCTGACACCCACAGCTGGAAGTATTTAAGAAAGCCTGTGCCTTGCAGAGGAATTTAAAATTCTGTGCTTTAGTGAAAACTAAGTTGCTTCTTGTTTAGTTTTCCTCCCCACCTCATCACCCTCTCTCCCCCAGCCCCACCAGCATGCCCCCAGCCCAGGCTGTGCTCCATCACTCACTGGTGAGGGGGTCAATGCTGCTGGGTAACTGGTAGCTTTTCAGATGGTCCAGCCAGGGCCGGTGCTTGAACGTGCAGCACAGCATCTCACAGTAGTGGTCATCCCCCAGAGGTTTGTCCCCCTCCAGCTCCCCTCCTGGGGCAGGCACCACTGCTGCTGCAGGTGCTGGCTTGGTGGGAGCTGGGAGAGACCACACAATTATTTCAAATGGCATAAAAATCTTCTTACTGCAATTTTTCTTAAGGTCTTTAAACTGTTAATAAAACAGCTGCCTCCCAGAAAACTCAGCGTGTATGGGAATCCACCAGAGAAACACTCCCAGCCCCACCTGAACTCACATGCCACAGGGCTGTCATCATCTGAGGTGACATCAGAGTCAATCAGCTTCTCCTTCACCTTCTCAGTCCTCTCTTTGAAGAGCCTCACCAGCTCCTGGAGCCGGGTGTTGATGACGGCGCTGCTCAGGCTCGAGGCCGAGCCGAAGCGCTCGGGCAGGCTGTGGGGACACCAGGGGCATTTCAGGCAGGTGGGAAAGGCCAGGGCAGGTTCTTGGGGTCATATAACCTGGAATGGCTTGGGTTAGAAGGGACCTTAAAGTTCATCTCATTCCAGCCTCTCTGCCATGGGCAGGGACACCTTCCACTAGACCAGGTTGCTCCCAGCCCCATCCAACCTGGCCTTGAGCCATGACCCAGTTGTGACCTGTTCTTTAACCTACAGCATCTGAATTAGGATTTATCTGTGGTTTCTTTGGGTATTGTGCACTGAGAACAACACAAACTTGCATGGCTCCCTCTCCCTTTGGTATCCTAAAGGATATTTGGGATGTTTGCTATTTCCACACAAGCCCCAGGATGTGAACCCCAGGATGTGAACCCCAGGATGTGAGCCCCTGGCTGATCTGGAGCCCCTGGGTCTATTTCTTACCTTTTCCTCTGCTCCTGGTCCCAGCCCAGCCCTCGGCTGGGGGATTGGCTCATCAGCCCCGTGTCCAGAGCATCCTCTGGGAGCAGTTGCTCCCTCCTGCAGACACAAACACAGAGACCAAGGGATGGCTTGGCTCCTCTCCCTCCTCCTCCTCCCAGGTGTGACCTGTTTTCCATTCCCCCTTCTCCTGCTAGGGTCAGTTTCCCCTAAGTTTTGACATTGCCTGGAGTAGTTGGGAGTGAACCCCCCCATCTCCTTTCCTGCTAAAGCCCTGTTTCTCCCTGAGCACCAACAAGCCTTTGGCTCCATGGACATGCAACCACCTGACCCATTTTGCAACTCAATTTGGGTACCTGGCAAGATGCATGGAGGGCAGGCATCATCCTGTGCTTGCCCCCAGGGCCACAGCTCCACATCACCACACTTCAAGGGGCAGGCAAGGAAAGTGCAATGCCAGAATACCCAGAGCTTGTGTCCTAACACAGCTGGGGGCTCCTTTTGGCACAGATGGGTTTCTCAGGTGACTTCCTTACATGTGGGCAAGAAAGGTGTCAGAAGGGAAGCTGAACAGGAAAAAATCTAGACTGGTTTGCAAACCTGCAGCCAAGCCCAGAACTTCAGCTGTGATGAAGAAATTGTCTCCAGCCACCACGACTGCTGATCCCACTGGCCATGGCACAAAATGTCTCAGTGCTGTGTGTGGAGCAGGAGAGAGCAGGATGCTGAGGGAGGTCATCCTGCCATCACAAATCTCCCAAAGAAATGGGAGTCAAATGGGATTCAAATGCTGTGAGCCCATCACCTTCAGCCTTGCTGCTCCCAGGTGTGTCCTGCTGGGAGGTGGAGCAGGTCGACAAGACTGATGAACCTTCATTTCCCAAGAGCCCAGTGCAGGGGTGGAGAAGAATCACAACTCCCCCTTTCAAAGTACTCCCAAATGGGCATGGAGGGGTTCCCAAACATCAGTTTGGAGAAATAGTCGTGCCAAAGTCCATATTGGTGTTAGGACAACATCCACTGCCTCCCAGCAGTCTCCAGCTGCCCTTCCCCTGCCTCTGTCCCCTCAGGGCACCACACTGCCTGTCCTCACCCCTGAGCAAGCCCAGATGCCAGCACTGGCAGCCCCTTGCTGTGTAAGGGCGCCCTGCAGCAGGCACAGCCTCAGGGAGCAGCCAGCTGGGGTGGAGGGTGTCACAGCCTGACCCTTGCTCAGATTTGGGTGCCCTCAGAATGCTGCAGGCAGAGGCCAGAGGCCCTGGAATATGTGGGATGCACAGGGTCCCTGCCCACGTGGCATCAGCCAGGGAGTCCTGGCATCCTGGCAGTGTCTGCAGGAGCTTGTCTGCAGGCTCCACTCAGGTGTGTGGCTCGTTTGCAATAAGTCTTTTATGATTCTGTTTAAACATTGTTCACTCCAATCCTTCACAGAGCCATGTAGGAAATAACTCCAGCCTGTGGCCATTAGGAGGGATTTAGAGATACTGGGTGACTGCTCTGTGCAGTTATGTCTTCTTCCTCTGGAAACACCAGCAGGACATGAGCATCTTCCTTCTGGCTCACAATAATTAATTTTTACTTCTTTATGTAGGAGAACAGGAGTTCCTTGCTTTTAAAAATACCCAGTGTTTTTTTGAGATACCCCCTGGAGACCCAGCAGAAGGGTTTATATGCTCACACGTGTAACTGCAAATATGTTTAATGCTGTCAGGGTTTTCACTGCAGGTATTTTACATGAAGCCTTGGGCTCTGCTGTCCCAGTATAAATATCTGTTCAGACTGGATTGTGGACATTTTTGCCATTTTTTTTTCTCCTCCAGGAGCAAAAATGAAAAGATCCAAACTATGAAGTGAGAATGACTACAGCACCTGGTTTTCAGCACAGAAAAAAAAATATCTCACTTTAGCTTTCATTTTGAATCCTCTGCAAGAGTGAGCCTAAAAAAAAAACCTAGTGCCACAACATAAAAAATCCATCAGCTTCCTCCAGCCTAAATTTTAAAGCTCAATTTTCATCCTCCCTCTCTCTAAGCATAGAATTAGAGAGGATGAATGATCTGGGTTGGAAGGGACCTTAAAAGACCATTTAGTCCAGCTCCCTGCCATGGGCAGGGACAGGTAGCTGCAAGCCCCATCCAACCTGGCCTTGAACACTTTCTGGGATGGGGCTTCCACCACTCCTCTGAAAGCTCAAACCCAGGGGGACATGCTGCAAATCCTTGCAGCAAAAATACAAGAAGAAAATGGTTTATTTTTAAGGTGCAGGCTCATATCCAGCACATAGACCCTCTGTGCTCTGAATCTGGGAACAGAGACAGGCGGACAACAGACAAATGGGGTTTGACTACGGCCTGGGGATCAAGCCCATCTCCAGCAGGACACACAGACAGGGCTGTCCCTGGCCACAAAAGCTTTAAGCAAAATGTAATTAAAAATGCAAACAAGAGGCAAGGCTTTGGCCATCTCCTGTGCTGTGCACTGGAGTGACACCTGCTGCACACACAGCACTGTCCCAATCTGCTGGGAACGAGCACCTCCACATGGAGAAATGTGGATAATAAATGTTCCTGTGCTGGCAGCCTCAGGGAGAGCTGGGCAGAGCCACACCTGGGGGATGCTGTCCCTGGGGGATGCTGTGCCTGGGGGATGCTGTGCCTGGGGGGATGCTGTGCCTGACAGAGCCATACCTGGGGGATGCTGTGCCTGAGGGATGCTGTGCCTGGGGGGTGCTGTACCTGGGGGATGCTGTGCCTGGGGGATGCTGTACCTGTGGGATGCTGTCCCTGGGGGATGCTGTGCCTGGGGGGTGCTGCTCCGGGCAGAGCTGTGCCTGGGGGATGCTGTACCTGGGGGATGCAGCGCCGGGCACCGCCAGCAGGTTGGGAGCGCCGGCAGCAGGCAGCTCTCCGTGGGTGCCGTGGATCTCCACAGCACGGCCTGGGCTGTCCACATCCTGGATCTCCACGGTGGGGGAATGACCTGCTCCGTGGGAAGGACAATAATGGCAGGTGAGGGGGGCTCAGGGCCCCCCTGCAGCCAGGATGGCTCCCCAGACCCCAGAGCTGCCCCCAGGCTCTGCAGTGTGTGGGAAGGACTCTCCTTCCTTCTCCCTCCCTTCCCTTCTTGCCTGGCTCTCCTTTCTCCTAAGCATTTGGGGCACTTCTTAATTTTTCTTTTTCTTTTTTTTTTTTTTTTTTTTTTTGCCCAGTTTTTAACAGTCTAAGAACTGCCATCTGCTGCCCTTCTGCTTGCCCAGCTTGCAGTGATTGCAGCTACTCCATCTGAGTGTTGGGTTCCCGTGGTTTGGAAAATCATGGAGATTAGGATTCCCAGCTGCAGGTTCTGGGCAGGAACCCAGGATTTCCAGGAGCAAACCTGCCTCCCAGGGTGTGGAGATATTCCTGGTCCTTCTGAATGTAAGCACATGGATTGTGACAGGTTTGAACCACACAGTGTTTGCTTTTCATGCAGAATAAGGCACTATTTAAATAAGGATTTATGGCTTCTTTCTTCTGCAGAGGTAATAACTGCTTCTTGCCACAAGCAAGGTCAGAAGCAGGAAGGTTGGATGTTTGTAGTGGGTAAAGAAAGATGCCAGTTGTCCAAAGGAGAAATGGCACTGGGGGCTACCTTGGCCAGACCCCACAATCACTTGGCTGTGAAGTGTGATGTCTTTCTTAGCTATTTAACAAAATAAAATTAATTCCTGCAGGATTTCTTCTGTGGGAGGTTTTCACACATCTGAGAGACCCCATGCACCTCCTCCAGCTTCACACTGCTGTGAAGCTAGTGGATCAGAGTCTGGCTTGATTAAATGCCTGAGAAAAGGCCTGTTTGGTTGGCAAAGTTAAAATCCTGTTGCATGTAAGGAAAAACAGCAGAATTCGGCTTGCTGGTGAAAAACAAAGCAAAGCAAAGCTGCAGAAAAGGCAGAAAGCCATGAACAGCAAACCTCCACCTTCCTCTCCTCTTAGCATGAGCAGGCTGCGCAAATGCTGGAGAGAAAACTGTGTGTGGTGATATTGCACCCTCTGCCTGCAGGTCCTGCTTTTCTGAGCAGCTCTAAACACACAGCATTTGCAAACACTCTCTATGCTCAGCTAAAAAGGCACATAGTGATGAGGCAGAAGCAGACAAACACATGGATTTTGTTCCCCAGCCTCTGTGCTGCAACATGAAGCATGCTTTTATTTTTCTGAATTCTCCCCTCCGCCAGAAAGCAACAAAAAAGGCAAACTACTCCAGGAATCCCCCCCCGTCTAACTACACAAGGCATCAAAGCCAACATCTCTAATACCTAGTGGGGATTGCTCCTCAGTGCAAAAATTGGGGTTGACAACTCCAGCCTTTGGCTTGCTGGCGGCAAGGACGGGGGTGGCAGCGGGGGCTCGGTAGCTGGGGACATTGGGGAGCTGCTCTAGAGCCCCGTGGCCAGCAGGGGACAGGGAGGGGACCCTGCCAGCCCGGGGCTTGTCATGCACCAGCCGGTCTAGCTCGACGTCCTGGGCCCGCCTGGCCATGCTGCTAGCAGCCTGCTAGGAGCTTCAAGCAAAGGACAAGGCATCTGCAGCTGCAACAGAACACAGAGTGGTGTGAGAAGGGAGGGCAGTGTCACGGCAGGAACGCGGGGTGACCGGGGATTGGGGCTGCCTGCTGCTCACGGGGGCTGGGGCAGTGGTGGGCATCCTAGCATGTGCTTTTCATGGAGTCATGGAAGGTTAAGGGTTGGAAGGGACCTTAAAGGTCATGTCCCGTGGGTAGGGACATCTCACAGAATCACAGAATCACAGAATAATGAGGTTAGAAGAGACCTCTAAGATCATCGAGCCCAACCTATGCCCTAGCACCTCAACTAGACTATAGCACCAAGTGCCATGTCCAGTCTTTTTTAAAACACATCCAGAGATGGTGATTCTACCACCTCCCTGGGAAGAGGATTCCAGTGCTTTATTATTCTATCAGTGAAAATTTTTTTCCTAATATCCAACCTATACCTTCCCTGACATAGCTTGAGACTGTCCTCTTGTTTTGTCAGTTGCTGCCTGGTGGAAGAGACCGACCCCACCTGTCTAGAGCCTCCCTTCAGGAAGTTGGAGGGAGCAATAAGGTCACCTCTAAGCCTCCTCTTCTCCATGCTAAACAACCCCAGTTCCTTCAAATGTTCCTCAGAGGGTTTGTGTTCCAAGCCCCTTGCCAGCCTTTTTGCCTCCTCTGGATGCGCTCCAGCATCTCAACATCCTTCCCAAACTGAGGGGCCAGAGCTGGGCACAGCACTCCAGGTGTGGCCTCACCAGTGCCAAGTGCAGGGGAAGAATGACCTCCCTGCTCCTGCTAGCCATAAAATTCCTCATCCAGGCCAGGATGCCATTGGCCTTCTTGGCCACCAAGGCACATTGTTGGCTCATGTTCAGCCGGCTGTGAACCAGTATCCCCAGGTCCCTTTCTGCCTGAACGGTGTCCAGCCACACTGTCCCCAGCTTGTAATGATGTAGGGGATTTTTGTGGCCACATCTCCAGGTTGCTCAAGGCCTTATCCAGGCTGGTCTTGAGTGCTGCCAGGGTTGGGGCATCCACATTCTCCCGAAGCAACATGTTCCAGTATCTCACCACCCTCACTGGGAAGAATTTCTTCCTAATAATCTAACCTAAATTCTCCCTCCTTCAATTTGAACTCATTACTCCTTGTCCTATCATTACAGTTCCTGACAAATCAGCATTTTCTAGCATCATTGCCCAGAGGGGCAAGGGCTGCATGCAGAGAATCTCAGGGGTGAGGGCAAGCCATTCCCTGTGCAACTTCCTGATGCCAGTGGAATTCTGCCAGGATGTGCCTTTGCTCAGTCAGGCTGCAATGGGAACTCGCCACCTAATTTTCATTACCAACCATTGCTTCCCTAAAACATTATATTAAAAGGTGTTTTATGCCACTGGTTATTTCCCAAAGGGAGAAAAGTGGCAGAGAAAATACTTTTTATCCCTGCACGTCCTCCAGCTGAAGGAGAATCCCTTATTTCACATCAGGGATTGCTGAATCAACAGGACTAAGCATTGTACATTCAGAGCTAGCTCCAGACAATGCCAATATTGCCATGGTGCTGTGCCCACAGGATGTTTTACCCCAGTGAACAGCCCAGGCCCATGCTGCAGAGCAGTCAGCTCCCTGCTCCCTGCCAGCAGGAAAGGAGAAGCTGGATTCTCCCCCCACCAGGCATTGCATCCCCTGCTTCACTCCATCCCAGCCTGGCATCACACTGCTACAGCTTGTACCTTCAGCATCGGTTTTGGCAGCTTCAGCTGTCTCCTCTTCCACCTTCAAAATGAAAAAAAAAAAAAGCCATTTTAGGGTGAAAAAGCCCGTTCTGTCAGTAAAAGAGCAGACTTTGCAGCTTGACTGGCTGCCCCATATCCCTGCTACTCGCCAGACCGTCAGCTTGTTCAGTGCCCGCTCTGGAGCGTGAGAGGAGCCTTCCCTCCACCCACAGCTACTTCTGCTGCTCCAGCTTCAGGGGTGGGGACACCCTGGTGCCAACATGTCCTGTGCCCAGCCCAGCGTGCTCCTCCCAGGGCCCTGCACCCCCTCAGAGAAGCTCTGAGCCCCAGCACTTGCAGGGCAGCAAGAGCTCGTTGCAGGGAGCCCGAGCAGGGAGCGGCGCCGTACCTGCACAAGGGCACCTTGGAGATTACTTATCTCAGCTTCCTCCAGCTGCTCAGCCCTGAGGGCCTCCTGGGCAAGGCAGGCTTCATCCACACCCTCATCAGCAGGGAGACAAGCAGGCTGCAGCAGGGGTCTGGAAGGGAGAGACAAAATACTGCCTGGGAGACCAGGTGAGAGGTGCATAAAAAACCAGGGCATTGAATGGCCATAAGCAAAAACTGCAGAGGCAGAAAGATCCAGGCAGAATGTTTCTCCTCCTGTGCATCATTTCTCATATAATTAAAACGGGCCAAATAAAAAGCCAAAACACAATTTCCAGGCAAGGCTTTCCCACAAGCACTATTCAAATCCCATGTTTGTCTGTGCAAGACACCACCAGGACACATAATTCTCATTTTCCTTCCTCAGCAAGCACAGGCCTCAGCTCCACCATTCTGACAAAGGGGCTCTCAAGACTGATTTTATTGCTTTAATATAACTTCATAACTGAAATAAAAGCACCTCAACTGTTGCTCTTTGTATTTACCTCTTGATTTGCTCTTTCCTGGCAAGAAATGCAAAGCAGAGATTTGGGATAATGAAAGGAATTTTGAGACAGCTAAATGCATGAAAATATTTGTTTTGTTATTTTTAATAATTTCCCCCCTTCATATTTAAAATTATGCTCCCTTCAAATGTGATCACAAATCTTTCCATCTAAACTAGAAAACCTGTTGGTCTCTCTCTTTTCCCAATAAACAAACACATTGAAGGATGGAGTAGCAACTCATTCACCCCACAACTGAAGCTCAAGTTTCTACAGTGAAGCTCCAGGAACAGATTTTGATGAAATACAAACATATGGGTTTGACAGTGAGTAATCATGTGTTTTCAGCTTCTTCCTGAAAATCTAGCTACTTTAGAGGAATTAACACAGAATAATTTTGTAGTGCTAGGTAATAAATCCCTAAATGTTTATCTCATGTGAAATCAGAGCAAACTACTAATCTGAGCAGAAAGATGTCTCCCAATACCATCCAGACCAAAGGCACCACCTTCCACAAGAACTCGGCTATTTTCTACAACAGGAAAAAATATAAAATTGTACCTACTTGGATGAAGCAGCATTTGCAGACACAACACATAATCCTGTCTTTGCATTCAGCTCTGTAACACTCAAAATAATCCCGAGTGCCCTGAATTAATGGACATGGTTTGAATAGCACGGCCCGTCTCCCGGAGCTGGCTGCTCCCGCCTCCCGCCAAGGCGCAGGAGGGGCTGCGGTTGCCACGGGCGGCCGCGATGGAGATGGAGCCCGTGTCACCAGGAGACGCTCCTGTCACCAGGTGCCGCGTCAGCAGCGAGCCCTGGGGTGAGCCGGTTTGCCAAAGCATCCCTCCCCATGGCCATCCCTGCCCATGCCATCCCTGCCCAGCACACTATTCCCTGCCCAGCTCACCATTCCCTGCCCAGATCACCATTCCCTGCCCAGCACACCATTCCCTGCCCAGCTCACCATTCCCTGCCCAGCTCACCATTCCCTGCCCAGCATACCATCCCTGCCCAGCACACCCATCCCTGCCCAGAACACCATTCCATCCCCAGCACACCATCCCTGCCCAGCCGCCTGCCAGGCTGGGAGCTCTGCTCTGCCGTGGGTGTTTCAGCCTCTCCAGCTGGTGAAAGTACTGGAAACAAAAGCTGTAATCACGCTCTTTTCCAACAAAGCCCTAAAGGCAACTGGAGCCACTCACTCTGCACTCGCCTCCTGCTCCTCCTCTTTCTTATCTTCCTCTTTCCTCTTTTCCTCTTTCTTCTTCTCCTTCTCTTTTTTCCTCTCCTTCTCTTTCTTCCTCTTCTCCTCTTTCTTCTTCACCTCCTCCTTCCTTTCCTCTTCCTCTTTCTTCCTGTCCTCCTCTATCTTCCTCTCCTCTTCCTCCTTTTCTCTGTCCTCCTCCTCTGTCTTCTTCTCCTCTTCCTCTTTCTTCCTGTCCTCCTCCTCTATCTTCCTCTCCTCCTCCTCATTTTCCCTGTTCTCCTCCTTCTCTTTCTTCCTATCCTCTTCCTCTTTTTTCCTCTCCTCCTCCTCTTGCTTCATCTCCTCCTCCTCATTTTTCCTATCATCTTCCTCTATCTTCCTCTCCTCTTCCTCTTTTTTCCTGTCCTCTTCCTCTTTATTCCTCTCTACTTCCTCCTCTTTCCTGTCCTCCTCCTCTTGCTTCCTCTCCTCTTCCTCCTTTTTCCTGTCCTCTTCATGTTTATTCCTCTCTTCTTCCTCCTCTTTCCTGTCCTCCTCCTCTTGCTTCATCTCCTCTTCCTCTTTTTTCCTCTCTTCCTCTTCTTTCTTCCTTTCCTCTTCCTCTTTCTTCCTCTCTTTCTCCTCCTCCTTCTTCTTTTCCTCATCCCCCCTGGTAGTGTTTGGGGAGCACAAGCACAGTCTGGAAAGGAGAAACTCCTTAGCTGAAGCCCCCAGGTTCCTGTGACACGAGGAGCTCTGTGTGTTGTGTCCCCTGGTTTCTGGCTGGGCTCCCCTTGTGCTGAGGAGAGCTGAGCACTGCCGTGTGGGAGGGAACTGCTGTGCTCACCCGGGTGTGCTGGCTCAGGGAACATTTTGGGGCTCAGAAACCCTCTGTGAGCAAGCATGGACCCCTCTCATCCCCCTGCTGCTGCACAGCTCACTGCTGGCTCTGAGCACACTGCCCAGCCCTTGGGCAGACCCCAGCAGGGTTTCTATGGCAGAAACAAGGGTAAATTATACACAGACAGCTTCCATTTCTGAATGGCATTCCAGCTGCATGCACACTGCTGGGAATAAGGGCCAAGGCCTCTTGCCCTGGGGCCAAATTTTTCTTATAGGAGCCTGAGCAGAGCCTCCCTCACCTGTCCTCTGCAGGGCACTGTAAGCATTGTTCTCATGGCTCTGCCACTGCCTGCCCTAACCAAAACTGAGACACCAGAAGAAAAAGACATTTGACCAAGCACCTTTTGGATCCTACTGGGGGATGCCTCCCTTTTTTGGAAACACACCTTGGCCACCAGCTCTAGCACCAGCACTTGCAAGGATGGATGCCCAGGGGCAGGCTTGTCCCCTCCCATGGTCACCACACTGGTGGCTGGAGAACATACAGACCTGCCCATCAAGAGCATCTCCCTTCCCCTACCTGGTTTCTTCTTCCTGAGGTTCCTCCTCTATGGTGGGAAGGGAATGAGCATCTGCCTGCAGCTCAGCCTCATGAGCCCAGGCTGGCATCTCTTCGTTAACCTGGCCATCATCAATCTCTTGCAGGATGAGATGGGTTTCCTCCTGCTCCTCAGGGACCACATGAACTGAAACAGCAATGGGGAAAGGGAGGTGGTGAAGGACAGTAGCACATTCTCCAGAAGCCAGGGCAGGTCCCAGGTTTGCTGTGCTCAGTGGGGCAGTGCTGAAGCAGCTCTCAGCCTGCACTCAGCACTGCACTCTCACTGCCCCTGTGTTGATATTCTCAGTTCAGTCGAAGAAAGAACAGTGATCATTTCTCCCAGGCTGGGCCTGGGAATCTTAGAGGAAAAGAATTAAAACAATTATTATCTCTCTTTCTGTAACCATTGTTTATAGTTGTGGTTCTCCACAGTGTGCTATTCATAGTACACCAATAGTGTGAGATGTTTCTACTTTGTGACCAATCAAGTATCACCTTAATGAGTCACATTATAAAAAGACCCACTACTTTCATTAAAGGGGCTTTTTGATCCACCTGAAGACTGGAGTCTTTCTTTCCATCCCTGACTCAACAGTGTCACCCCTGAGCCGGGCTGCCCTGGTGCCTTTACCAGAAGGAAGAAGAAAATTCACCATTTTCTGCCAAGCACAGCCAAAACCCCATGAAGACCTTGAGCAAGCTGGTCAATGTCCCTGCCCATAGCAGGGGGAGTGGAACTGGTTTAGCTTTAAGGGCCCTGCCAACCCAAAGCATGCTGTGATTCTATGAAAGCTATAATCCTCTGCACACAGATGAGTGCTGGCTGCCCTGCACATGTAGCCTCCTCCACCAGCAGTGTCCTGGCCCATCTCCAGGCCACATTTTGTCCCTCCTTACAATCTGGAAGAGCCCAAAGCCTTTCCCCTTGTGATCCCCCAGTGAATTTCTGTCCTAGCACAGCCCAAGGGTGCTGGGTCTGCAAGACCCAACCCAGAGCCCACATCACAGCACTCAAGCACCATGTCCTGCCCGCTCTGAGCATTCTCCCAGGCAAGGAACATCCCACAGCACTTCCCAGAATCTCTGGGGTAAAACCCACAGCAGGTTACCGGGGGCTGTAGGCAGCTGCAAAGTGAGGAGTCTGACCCATGAGGAGCCCTCTCCATGTCCCAGGGGTACCCATCCTACCACGTCAGGCTCACACCAGAGAAACAGGAGGAGGAAGCACATCCGCTCACTGTAAAACCAGTTTATTTTGAGGTCTGCTTGACAGCAAAACTTACATGTCCACAGCAAAGCTAATAGGAAACGTGCAAACTGAACTACAGAAAGGCAGGAAACCCATGCAGTGTCGTATCTGTGGCTTATTTACCCACCCCATGGTGTCCACAGTGCCTTTAGCCCATTCCCTCTGGATCTCCATTAATTAAAACATGGGACAGCAATCAGGGAAATGGCTTTTAAAGCACACCATGGCTTTTGGATACATTATATGAAAATGTGGTAAATACTAAAAGTGTGTGCTGGTACAAGCAAGATTCGTTATAAACACAGGGGGTGGATCTCAGGGTGGTCTCCTGGCTCACAACTCATTTTTGCAGTTGCCTGGATGGTCCTAAAGAGATGCAACAGTGGGAGATCTTAACCTGGCCTGTCAATACATCAGGGGGCTTATTCAAAATATGGAAAAAGGCTTTTTACCAAGGTCTGTAAGGACAAGGGGCAACAGTTTTAAACTGAACGAGGGACATTCATATTGGACATAAGGAAGGAATAGTGTACTGCGGTTGCCCCACCCTGGAAGAATTCAAGGCCAGGTTGTACAGGGCCTCGAGCAACCTTGTCTAATGGACAGGGAAGTTGGACCAGATCATCTTCAAAGGCTGCTCACAACCCAAACCAGTCTGCACTCCAGGTATCCAAAACATGGGGTGCAGAGGCTCCCACCTCCCTAAGCCCAGTGTGCCTGCACTGGCCATGCCTGACTGCAGCCTTTGGGCTGGAGACAGCCCCTGGAATCCCTTCCCTGCTGGGACATTCCTGCTGCTGCAGTTAGTGCTGCATCCATGGAGCTGAGAGCTTCAAGAGGGAGCAGCCCTAGTTGGGGGTAAGGAGAGTTTGGGGTAAGTTCTCTCAGAAGAAGAGCCCAGGCAAATATGTTTAACCATTAACTCCAACCTATTCACCTAGAGATTAACCTCACCCACCTGATTTGCTGCTGCAAATCAGAGCCCTTTCCACTTGCTGGGAGGAAACACTCAGTTATGGAAGAAAAGCAACAAGAAGCTGACAAGAGCTTCAAGAGGTTTATAACATTACACCTCAGAGGCAGAAGTTGACTCAAAGAAGCCTGGAGACTTCAGCTGGGGGTTTCAGGGTGAATATTCAGATGTTGTGGGGGCATTGAGAGGGCCAGGAGTGCTGGGAGACTGCAGCAAGAGGCTTTCTGCCACTGAGGTGTCTGAGTGATGCTTTTCTACCATCCTGTAAATTATAGTTCCCACCTCATAGACACCATCCTGCAAAACCAGCAGCTCCAATTCCCAGAGCAAAGAGGGAGCCAAGTGGGACAGCCCTGGGACTGAGTCTCTGTGCCAGCCTTGGGTCCCCACTGCCTCAGCTGGGAAGGAGCTAGACACCATTTGCAGATTCCCCTTTGCTTTTCCTCCCCAGCTGTGCTTTCTCCTCAGGTTGGTCTCATTTGGATGTGGGAAGGGCTGGCTTGCCACAGTCTTCATTTTCCGTTTGTTTCAGAGGCGCTAAGCCCCTTTGCCCCCTGAAACAAAAGGAGAAGGAAAACATTAATGAGCGTGCTGGCAGTTTGGTGCCAGGGCAGATCTCTTACTTGACCCAATCATTCCCTTCCTTGGGCAGGGTTAAGTGACCTGGAGATGCCTCAAGGCACCAAAGCCAGCTGGGCACCAGGGCTGTGCTCGCCCAGCACAGGCAGCAGCATCCCTGGCTTTGCCTCTTTCTGAGGCCCATGGCAGCACACAGGCCTGCAGTTTGTACAAACATATGGAGAAATGCCTTACCCCAGGATTTCAGGTTCTGCCAAGGGGCTGTTGGCCTGCGGGAGCAACTTCCCAGCATATCCCTGGGGTGTGCATTTTCCATGTGCCTCAACTGTCCCTGCTCTCATCAGCAGCTCCCACAGCCCAACCAGCCACTCCTTTCAAGGCACAGCACTTGCACAGGGGTGTGTAACCCTGCCCACACCATCCACAGAGGCAGCTGTGGCCCTGCATTTTGTCCAGCATCCCCCAAAGTGGCTGCAGTGGGGAGCCAAGCCCCCCCTGCCTGCAGAGCTGGTGCTTGATGCCCTCCACAGGCACACAGCAGTGTGAACCCTGCAGGTTTTCCCACAGCCATGCAGATTCCATTCTAAGACATCTAATCCCAGCATTTTGTTTTCCTGGGGTACCTTCCTAGACATCTCACACCAGGCTTGGCAAACAGCAAAGGAGAAAAAGGATGCAGCAGGTTTGAATTCCCTTGCAATTCTTCGATCAAATCCCTCCAGCTCCAGCATGGCTCAGGACAGACCTTGATATCAGCACTAACCTCAAAACCCAGAACCTGAGGATTTTGGGATCCTGGGATGCTGCACTTGGAGACTCCCTCAGCCTGAGTTTTACCAAGCCCATGCCACAGCTCAGCAACAGCTCCCTCTTCTCAAGTGTCAACAACCTCCCATGGCTTCCCTGGGCAATTCCAGGGGCTCCTGAGCTGGCACCCAGGGCAGACCAGGGGATAAAGAGGCCTGTGACCCCTCCTCCCAGTAACCCAAGCCAATAAAGACCTTGGCAGTCAAACCATCATGAAGAAATGGATCCATCACTTACTTTGTTCCACAGGACTCAAGGTTGCTGTGGCCACTCCCTGTCAAGAGGAGAAGGGAACAATGAGACACTGCTCATTTTCAGTAACCCTTAATTTGTACCCTCAATGCCCCATTTTCAGTACATCTAGTCCTTTTACCCTAAATATCCCATTTTTGTGGCAAGTTGGATGGCGTGGCCACAGGCACGAGCATCCCACACAATGGTGCAGAGCTGGACCACATAAGTGAGTTTGCCTGGGGGCCAGGGAAGGAAAGGAGAGCTATATAAAGCTGCTGCTGCTTCTCCTTAGAGCTGGGACCACACCTGCATGAGATGCCAGAGCCTGGACACCAGCCAGTGCTGCACAGAAAGGCAAGGAAAGAAAGCACATTCTACAGGATCTCCGGCTGCTTAGAAGCCAAAAACTGCCTTTCATCAGCTAAGCAGATCATGGGGACTTGTTCTCTTGACAAACTTGGTGATAGCCCAAACCACAGCAGATCCCAGCACTGATCTAGTGACATCTGCAGGGCAGGGGATGGATGCCCTGCTCGTGAGGGATGTTCCCGTGCTCTTTCCCTATCCATCAGACAGCCCACCTGTGTGTCCTGCTTCTCCCTGGTCACTGGCTGTGGCATCACCTTCTCCAGCCCCTGCACAAACCAGCTGAACATCCTGGAGACAAGAAACCCCTGGTAGGCTGGCAGCCAGAGCCTTTGCTCCCGCACCAGCCGTCCCTGTGGTCACCAGGGCCCTGCAGAAGGTGCCACCGTGGTTACCTGGCGGCATCCGCAGCCGCGGTCTGAGGGCTCAGGGCGGCCCCCGGCTCCGGCTGGCCCTGGGCTGCTGCTGCGGCGCTCTGAGGGCCTGGAGCGCTGCATTTTGACTTCGCCTGGGTTTTAGTCCCTTCTGTGCCTGCTCAGGTTTATTGAAAAGAAGAAGGATTGGCAATGGAGCTGTCATAAATCTTTGGGAAGTGGAGCAAGCCAGGGAGGGTCACCTCCCGCAGAGGGACAGGCTTCGGGGGCTTCCCTGGCAGCCTGCCTGGGGCGAGGACATGGCCACATGGGGACAGGAGCTATGCAGGGGCCGTGCCATGATGGCAGGACCTGTGTCCCCACCCCTGGGACCCGTGTGCCCACCCCTCCCAGCACTCTTGGAATGCTGGCCATGGAGGCGAGACGAGGCAAGGCCAGCCCAGCTCGGCCCGGCCCGGCCTGGCCGGGAGTCGCGGATCGGATCGCTCACCTTCCACCGCGCCTTCGCTCCTCTCCTTCGGCTCTGTCTGCAGAGGGACAGAGGGACGGATAGACGTGGCAAAGCACTGCCTGCGGCCTCAGGCCACCCCAGGTGGACATGTCCCCACCGCAAGGGGCCCCACACGCTCAGCCCCACACACCACCCGCTCTGGTTTCAGCCCCATTGCCGTGACAACAGCCAGCTAACCCAGACACCAGCGATGCTGACACCAGCCCATCAGGCCCAAATGAAGGGTACACACTCAGCCCCACACGCTCAGCCCCACACGCTCGGCCCCACACGCTCGGCCCCACACGCTCGGCCCCACATGCTCGACCCCACACGCTAAGCCCCACATGCTCGGCCCCACACGCTCGGCCCCACACACCACCCGCTCTGGTTTCAGCCCCATTGCCGTGACAACAGCCAGCTAACCCAGACACCAGCGATGCTGACACCAGCCCATCAGGCCCAAATGAAGGGTCCTCCCCGCATCAAGGTTGAGGAGCACCGGGACAGCACCCAGAGATCTCTTTTTGCTCTGCGGAATTCCCTTGGGTTTTCCTCCCCAAGGTCGCAGCTGGGGTGTGCAGGAGGATGAAGGCAGGGAGCTCGCCCCACTGTCACCTCTGCCCGGCAGCCCCCGCTCTTCCTGAGCTAGGCAGTGCTCACCTCCGGCTTTTTCATCCCTTCTGGCTGCGGCAAAATCCTCTCGAAACCCTGTGAGAGCCAGCTGAGCACCCGTTTTCCTGTCCTGCGGGGAGAGTGCCGCGCTCGGGGAGCTCATCCTGTGCCCTCCTGCCCTCCCGCATCCCCCCAGCCTCGCTGGCACCCACCACTGCTCCGGGGCAATCTCCGGCTCGCCCTCGGAAACATCCTCCTCGGCATCGAAGGGAGTTATCTCTGCAAGGAGAGCACTGCTGTGGGCATGGGGAATCCACACTGCTGGGAGCTCCAGGTGCCCCCATCAGCCAGCAAAAGGGGACAATAGTGCCGGAGTCACCAGCCAGGGAGGTGGGATATGGGAGTCCCAGGATGCTGCAAGCTACAAACTCCCAGCTCTCCTTACCCAGGCCATCGTCATCCTCATCCCCAAGGACCTGGACCTCTGTCTGAAAAGCCAAACATATTGTCTGAAAACCCGACAGCCCAAGAGAGGGATCACCCCACTGAGTGGGGAGGGAAACCTGCCCTTTCCCCAGGGATGGGTGAAGGTAGAAACCCGTGCAGGGCAGGTTTAGTGTTCCCAGTTAGCACTGGGAAAGTGATAAGAAGGAAAAAAAGAAGAAAAGGTAAAAAGAGGCAGAAGCTCAATTACACCAAATTAATTTCCCAGATCTGTCTCCTACCTCATCAGCAATGTCGATGCTTGTCTCGAAGCTCTTCCCGAGTGCCTGCAGCCCTGGGGCTGGGGCTGGCTGGGGAATCACCTTCTCCAGCCCATGGGAGAGCCAGGAGAGCACACTGCTCCCCACACTGCCAGGGAAGGGTGTGAGTCAAGCTGGGAACGCCATCCAAGGCATCCAGCCCCCAAGAAAAAGCAAAATCCCAAGCAAATCATGCTGCACAAAGGGTGCAGGAGCTGTACCTGTCAAACACAGAACTCGAGTCCTCAGAAACCACAAAGGCCACTTTCTTTTCCGTTTCTTCAATAGCAGCAGGAGAAAATAAGGCAAGCTCCTATCACCACTCTGCCAGCCCCCAGGAGGCCAGGCAGGAGAGGGACAGGAGGGGAAAGGAGCACTGATGTGCAGCCTGAGCCAGTGTGGGGCTTACCCTCAGTGCGTGCCCGCTCAGCAGCATCTGTGGGGCCACCGGCCTTTCCTGGGGGTGCCTTCAGGACAGAAGGCAGGAGGTGTCAGAGAACAGGGCACAGGGGACACTGTCCCTGTTCAAAGGTGGCTGCAAACCCCAGGGACTCCCCATCCTCTTGCTGCTTCCCAGCAGCTCAGAGTAGGAATGCATCCCAGCCCCTTCCCTCCTGGGGTTGTTGCAGTGCTGGGGATGGATGCAGGGGCACCAGACACCTCTCATCATGCTCATGGTGTCACCAACACCCCCAGGCTGGCTCCCTGCTCACCTTAGCTGGCTGCAGCTCCCGCACAGGGGTCTCCTCTGTCACATGGGGCACCGGGGGCTGGGGCACCACCCGGTCAATCCAGCCCATCATCCCGCTGGCTGCGGGCCGTGCCCAGGGGTCTCCAGCTGGCAGGAGCCCAGCAGCAGGGGTGCCCACTGCCCAGGGAATGCCAGCTGCTCACTGGGCTGTCTCCTGAGGAGCCCAAGAAGGTCCTTGGTGTCCTTCTGTTTCCAGGTCCTGCTTGGGAGACATGGCACTGCAGCACAGCCAGAGCAAACCCAGCTCAACCCCTCACCCCTCACTGCCATTGTGAGCAAAATTAAGGCCCTATTTTATTCTCACCATCTCAGTTAAACTTGCTTTTCCTGAAGGTAGCTCCTCATTTAGATGGTTTATTTTCACAACCTGTCCTGACTAGGAAGCCATTGCAGATAGATCACAGAAACTGTGATGCTCTGCTCAGGGTCCTCTACTCTCCCCCCATCATTTTTCATTTGAGGGAAGCTGAGCAGTAATTTGAACAGAATTTTTTATGTGGAAGTTCATGTCACAGCACACACATCCCCTCTTTCTGCCCCTACAAAATAACTCTGCTCCACCACCTGTCAGCCACACCCCAGGGACATGGTGGCTGCTGGGACAGGTACTGCTGGGGCTCTGGCAAGGGCAGCAAAGGCATCCAGCACTGGCTGCTGTGATGTTGATAGGGCAGGTAAAAGTAAGATGCTGCAGAGCAGGGATTCAGCTGTCCAAGCTCTGGCTGCTTGGTCTTTTTGGGTCCCTTCCTCCCCTTTGTGAAGCAGCTCCAGGCTGGGATACAGCACCAGTGAGCCAAATGATGCTGCACATTCCCCTTCTTAGGTACTGAATGATGAGAGCTGGGGGCTCTCATCCAGCTCAAACTGGGGGTGTCACTTGCTGTTGCTCCTCTGAAGGGCTGTGCCCTGCCCAAAATGCCCCTCTATAGTACCCCAGCTCTCATCCAGCTCAAACTGGGGGTGTCACTTGCTGTTGCTCCTCTGAAGGAGCAACAAAATGCCCCTCTATAGTACCCCGCTCTGCCCAAAATGAAGGGCTCAGGAGCACCTCAGACAGCCCCCAGGGGATACCTGTGAAGGGCAAAAGAAAGCAAATCCCTCAGCTCCTTCCAGCCCGGCCAGGAGTCTGCACATGAGTTTCAATCCCAGCCCCACATGCAGCAGGTAGAGGCTGGAAGCTGCTCAGCACTGGGCTCTTTGAATTAACCCCTCATGCAGCTTTCAGGCATGCAGGACATCATGAGATGGCTCACTGGGGGCTCTCCAAAGCCTGGCTCCTTAAACCTAGGCTGGGGTTTGCAGGAAGGGTGATGTGTGTCCTCAGCCCTCTCCCATGCACTCTCCCAGAGACCCCCACACCCCACAGCTGGACAGAGCAGCTGTAAAACACCTCCTGGGGCCTGACAGCCAGAAACCAATTAAATTATCTTGTATCTCTCACTGGGTACAAGGGATTAAGGAGCTGTGAATGTCCTGGGAACAGCAAGGAAAAGCTGCCAGTGCCTGCAGCAGAGGCATTTCCCCCCAAGCTTTGGCACTCTCACAGATCCCAAAGAAGCCCAGGGTCCCGGTGCACAGTTGAGCCCAAACAATCCTAGAGAAAGCTTCCTGAGGCTGCAGCGAGCCCCCCTTGTCAGCTAAGGGCTCCTCCTCCCTCCACATGAGCTTGCGCAGCTGTAAAAGCCTGGACCATATCCCTGTCCTTGGTCTGGGAAAGAAAGTGGAGGTCAAAGGCTGTTCCGCTGCCAGATCTGAACAAGAAATGGGCAGAAACATTTGTGGGTCCCCACAAAACTAGCTGCTGAAAGAAACAGGAATAAGTAGGCAGGATTTGCCATCAATGACATGACAGAGTTGGCACCTCATGCATCCTGCTGCATTGCAGGCACCCAGCGGTGCCACCACCTGTTGTGGCAGCTCCTTTTGCCAGCCAGCAAAGGCCCTTAGTCTCATTTCTAAGAGCAAGAAGGGCACAGACCCACAGCCTCATTTAGAGCAGGGAGCACCGTGGCCTTTCCTTCCCTCCCAGCAGCTGATGAAACCTCCACATCACCCAGCCCTCGCAGCATCACTCCTGATGGACCGGCACAGCTCATCCCCCGGTTTTTGGATCACCAAACCCCCCTGTGATGGGAGAGGTGGGCCTGCAAAGCTCCCAGCCACATCCCTCGCCTCCATCGCTGCCACTTACCCCCGCAGGCTCAGCACTGCCTCCCTGGGAAGCCACCCTGGGACGCGTGGGCTCCCTCGGCCACTGCAGCTCACTGCCACTGCCCCCCAGCCCACCTCAATCGGCTCAGGGCTCTGCGAGGATTAGCCCTGTGCTGCCTGCAAATGGGATTACTGGCACCCAGCTGTCCTGAGTGCCCTCGCTTCCAGCAGCCAGCCTGGCTTTGGTGCAAGGTGCTGCAAAAAAACCCAAAATCAAACAGGTTTGAGCACCCTCAAAATCTCTGGAGCCACCAAAGCTCCCCCAGGCACTCACCAGCAGCGCTGTGGGGAAGGAACTCGTCTCACCCATGTGCAGGGATGTGCAGAGGAGCAGCAGTGGAGCTGCTGAAACCCCGTGGGGTGACACAAGGTGATGTGCCAAGGGTGCTCCACCCACAGCTCTGCCCCAGCTCCTGAGCAACCACAGCAAATCTGTGCTGGGTTGGGCTAAGCCTCCCCTTGCTGAGCCTGCCAATTGCTGCTTGATCCGTTTACCTCCAGCCCTGCACGACTGCCAGCCTTTCCCACTGCCCCTAATCTTGGCCACAATGACACCCTGGAATCCAGGTGCCAGCATGGATTCTGTGCCCCATGTCCAGCCTGTTTCTGCATGCCCAGAGCTCCCTGCCCTGCTTCCTCCTTCCCTGGCTCCATAGGTGTCTCCATGCTGGTGGGCAACAAGTACCCATTGTGCCTGGCCCCAGCAGCTCCGTAGCAGGCTCCTCTCTTCCTATCACAGGACGGGGGATGCAAAACAAACCCTCAGGAAAAGCTTGGACAGTTTTATGTGGGGCTGGGATTGCAGAGCACAACATGCAGCAGCTTCTACCCACTGAACAGCTGCTCCCTTCTGGCAGGAAGAGACTCCTGCCTGCTCCTGCCCTGAAGCTCCCAGGGAGGAGTTTTGCCCTGGGGAGGGATCATTCCAATTCTAGCAGGGGCAAAACCACTCAGCATACTCTGCTTGTGTTTGCTTTCAGCCTCTGGGAGCCTGCTTGTACTCTGCATCTTCTGCTTACCAAGAAGATGAACCATCAATTCTACTTCAAAAAAGTTCAGGGGAAAGAAAGAAAAAAAAAAAAAAAAAAATTAAAAAAACCCCAAGCAGAGCCAGACAGAGCACAAAGACAGATGAGGAGGCAGTGCTTGGCACATGGCCTCTGCTCCAGAAACCTTACACACCCACAGGAAGGTATAAATAACTATAAATTTATTAGTAAAGCAAAACCATTTGACACTCACACAGAAGAGCGGGATGTGTTATTACAATATATATACACACATACATGGAGTATCATCTTAGAAACACATGGAGAGCAGTGTTAAAGGCACTGCAAGCCACACAAACCTCAGCAACCTTGGCTGTGACCTCCAACAGCCCCGGGAACTCTACCGGAGTCATGACCACAGGTTGGGAGGCACCCAAGAATCCCACTGACCATGAAGTCCCTCAGATCCACGGCTTGGAGGCACTCAGAAACAAGCCCACGGCCCAGCTCCCACCTGTGGTCCTGCTCTCCCCACGGAGCATCCCAGGCACACTGTGAGAGCAGCATCTTCATACCCAGAAAGTGCCAGAGGCAGCTGCCAGGAGCTGCTGTGGAGGAAGCCGGGCAGCTGGGGAGAAGCTGGGTGCTCACCCGGGCCTGGCTGCCAGCCCCAGACCTCACTGACCTGCCCTTATGAATCTCAGCATTTCACCTGCATGCACAGGAACCTTCCCACAGGTGAACTCACCACCCAATGGAGAAAGAGTCAAATTCTGAAGTATAACAAGAGGGTTTTGCCTACTTTTAATGGTCAGGCTTCAGCTGCAGCCTGGACTTGATGGTAAATACCCAAGGGAAGTGCAGAAAGGGTTCTCCTCCCTCCTCTTCTCCCTGTAAGGGCAGGCTTGAGTGCCCAGAGATGGTCCCAAAACTCTGTCAGAGGATGCTTTCCCCTTTGTCCCCCAGACCAGCACATGGGCCCCAAGACCAGAGCATGAACATCTTCCCACCCAGACTGCAGAGATGGCACCTGCTCACTGGAGAGCTGGCATGGCCACCTGAGCATCCCCATGGTCCCAGGGATGTCCCTGCCACAGCTAACTCAGCTCAGCTTGATGCACTCAAGCTGCTCCACAGCACTCCCAGGGGAACCAACTGCACTGCCTGAGCCCACCCCAGTGCCATGACATCTCCCCAGGAATGTCTGACAGTCCTTCACAGACTTAATCCTCAGCCTTGGAGATGGAAATGGCAGCCCCCACCCCAGTCCCCATTTCCTACAGCTCTACTCTGGCTCTTGGTCCTGGCTTGGATTCACTTGTCAGAGCATGGACCGGCTCCCACGCCAAGCTCCCAGCTCACAGGCATTGCCCCTGCCCAGTGAAATGGATGGCCTGCTGTGGGGAAGGACCAGAAGCACCCACTGGATTCCAGCAAGACTCAGGTCCTAAACACCTGATCTCACCATCAGTGGTTTGGTACCACCAGGATCCAGCCTCAGCCTGGGAAAGGAATTTGGGGCTGGGGAGAGCAGAGGCAGGTGGGAAGGAAGGAAGAGACCTCTCAATCACTAGGGAAGAAGGAATGAAAAACAAACAACTGCTTATAAATAAAGAACTGAACAAAGAAAAGAAGCTGAGAATGTCTTCTGAAAGTATAAGCTGTGGAAGGGAAGGGGCTGAGACAGCTAAAGGCATCCTGTGGGTAGGATCAGGGGAAGTGAAGATCAGTAAAAGCCCAGGTTACAGATTACCTTTTCCTGGACCCAGGACCAGAGGAACAGCAGCCATAGAGAGCAGGACTTAGGACCTGCAGAACACCCATGCAACCTCTGGCCAACCTAACCCTCCTCTCCACCTCCTCAGCAGCATTCTATGCTCAGACTGCCTGCCAAGGAGAACCACCCTTTGGGAGGGACCCCTGCTACCCAGCCCCTCAGCATCCTCAGGTGGACTGCAACCAGGTCTTGAGCTGCCTCGAGCACTTGCCACAGGGCTGGTGGCACACCAGCTCCAGCCCAGCAACTGTTTGAGGTGCTGCAGGGCAGCGAGGAATGCAAGAGGCCAAGCAGAAGCAGGAGCCTGAAAGTTGCTTGAAATAAACACCAGAAGTGAAGTGCAACAGGTACAGAGCAGAGACATGGTTTGCTCCCCAAAGGGCTTTGGCCCCAGCTGCTCTTTGGTTTGAAAAGCAAACAGCAGCAGTCAGCAGAGAGCCCTGCAGTGTGATGCCCCAGGGACATCAGCTGCCAGGCCAGCCCGTGCCTCCCCACGCAGCAGCTCAGTGCTCCTGACACTCTGTGCCTCCTGCTACTTCCACCTCCTCCCACCTCACGGGACAAAACACCACCTAAAGGCACAGCAATGGAGATGGACCTGCTGCCCCCACCACTGTAGGCAACACTGCTGCTTCCAACTAAAAAATGCTCCTATAAAAATATACCCAAAGATCTCTGTGGCCACTCAGTACCCACCCCACAGAGGTCCTCTACCCACAAGCTGCAGCTTCGTGTTCTCCATGGGCTTCTACAGGATTTGGGCTATTGCAGGGCAGCAAATGAAACAAGACTGAGTCACCATGAACTCACAGCCAGCCCTAATAATGATCTTCTAATCCTGCACCATGATGTTTTTGAACCTGGAGGCATCTATTCACCAGCTGATGACCTGGACCTGGGCTCATCCCTGCCAAGCTCCCCTCTCTCCCTGGCATGGGGTGTCTCATGCACACAGCCCTGATGAGTCTCTGCCCAGGGCACTGCTTGGCTACTGCCACATCCTAGGCAGAGCCATAGCTCCTCACTGGGATATCCAGGGCTTTCCCAGCTGCTCAGCAGGAGACAAACACCCCCCAACGTCCCTGTGTCCAGCTGTACCAAGGGGACAGGATCTGGCAGCCCCATGGCTCTGCATAGTGTGGAGCTGTGTCTGGGGCTCACCACCACCCTCCTCTGCTCCAAGTGCCAGGCAGCCACCCAGGCAGCTCCCCTGGGCTCCTGGGGAGGGAAGAGAGCAGGGCACAGCCAGCTGATGATTTCTCCAAACCCCCCTCTGCTGCTTCAGAAAGAAACAGAAGAGCCACAACAGCCCATGGAGGCTGCAGCTGACCCTATCTCACACCCTCCTCCTAGCAAAGATAAGCCTCTCTGCAAGCTCTGAGCCCTGGGCACTGATCCTGGCTGCCAGTGACCACTGAACCCCTGGCAGCTGTGCTGGGCAAGAGCAGAGGAACCACAGCCCAAGGCAGGAACAGAGCATGGGTTCAGATGGGTGCCACAGTCCTCATCTGGTCCCACATTTGAGCCTCCATCACCACCAAGCCCTTCTGCAAAGACAGGATTAGCCTTCCTTTGTTTGGACTCTCTTTTACTCCTACAGTAAAGCATACACTGAACTTACTACATATTAAACAGCAAAAACCAGTTACCTAGAACTAAAGAGCTCTTTAAAAATCCAAGTTACCACATCTTTTTTTTAAAAGATTCTATATGACATCAAGTTAAACTATACAGTATTTTTAATGAATTTTAACAAACTGTTTAAAAAAAAAAGGTAAAACAAAAAAAAGAGGAAAAAGAAACACAGATGGAAAACTTGGTAGGAAGTTCTACATCTTTGAGGCAGCACAAAGTAAGATAACCATCATGGGTCCCTCTTCCTTGGGCAGCAGAGAACACAGTCTGTTTTAATCACCTTAAAGTTGCACATAAAGAAGACACAGCCCAGGGTCTACCCTGTCACTGCCCTGTCCCAGCCCCTGAAAATGCACCCTCTTCCCCTCACCGTGCTGGAAATGGAAAACTAAAGCCCTTCTCCACCTTTCAGACAAGTGTCCCCCAACTGAGATGCAGGCCCAGTCCAACCCTCTGCAATCTGTATACACTTGCTATGGACAACAGTCACTAACCTTGTCCTAATCTCTCGTGCAGCACATGGATAACACCCTGGCTGCTGCTCAAAACCTCACAAGAGCACCACAGACGAGCCAACACCACAGACGAGCTGAGGCTGGCAGGGACCTCTGAAGACCATCAGGTCCAACTCCTTGCTTGCACAGGGTCAACTACAGCAGGTTGTCCAGGACCACATCCAGCCAGGGACTGAACATCTCCAGAGATGGATACTTACTATCTCCAAAGATGGAGGGGGAAGGCTGGGGAACAACCTAGTAGGCACATCTTCAACCTCCAAGGCATCTAACTGACACATAATGGATCTCTTGGACGTGAGAAGCCAGCAAATTCCTGTAGAGGAAAACACCTGAGGCTGCATCAACCTAGGGGAGATTTATTTTTAAGTGATGTTTACAAGAAGTGTGCAAAACCTGAAGAATACAGACGAGGTAAAGAAAGGGCAAAGGGATAAAAAAGGACTCCTGCAAGAGGGGAAAAAATAGATTTCTCCTTTACCCACTGCTAACTTTGCCCTCCCCATGGAGCTGAGCCTGCAGGCCATAAAGGATTCTCCTGGCTCGCTCTGGTTCCTCCAGCAAATCAGACACCAAGCCCCTGGCACATGCTGTGGGTTATGGCTGGCCATGGCAACACCTCTGCAGTTGTAGGTTATTGTAGTGTTCATCTCACCCCTTAGTGTTGGAGCTGTGACAGCTCATTGCCTGACCCTGCTGGAGGTACCACTGTCAGCCCAAGGGGTGCTCAAGGGCACAGAGGCAAGGCAGGAGGAGGCTAAGTCCCTTGGGAAGCAGCTCTTGAATGGCAGGCTTTTGGTTGGGAGCAGGGTATGAATGCTGTAACAGAATCATGGAACTGTTAGGGCTGGAAGGACCTTTGGAGATTATCTAGTCCAACCCCCCTGCTAAGTTAGGGTCACCTAAAGCAGGTTACACAGAAATATGTCTAGGTGGGTTCTGAATGTCTCCAGAGAGGGAGAATCCATGACCTCCTCCCAGGCAGACTGTCCCAGTGCTCCTTGCCATGCTTTGTGGTGGCAGCACAGCGCTTCCTACAGCTCCCTGTGCAGCTGGCAGGGACAGGGGGCAGGCAGGCTCACTCAGAACCCCTGCAGCATGTGACAGCCAGCCACTGCAAAAGCAGCAATGCCAAAGTGCTTTTTGGAGCTGTGAAGCCCCATGGCTTTTCCCTTTCAACACTCTAGAAGGAGGGAGAGCAGGGGAGGCTGGGGCAGTCAATCAACAATAACCATCTGAAATAATGCCCTCAACTGAGCCTGGACCAAGTTGGGAGACCCCAGCAGCAGAAACCTGACATCTCTATGCCAAGCAGCACACCCTGGGAGAAGGGAGGGTTGGCTCTGCCTTGCTCCTAAACCCTCTCCAGAAGGAGAGTCACCCAATCCTCCCCACCTGCCAGGCAGGGCAGGGGAAAAAGGCTGCACGCAAAGAGCTGGTGCTTGCAACAGACAGCTGAGCTCCCAGGACTGGAACTGCAGGTACAGCACAAACTACAGTCTGGGGAACACCAGCATCTGCAGGCATAGTTTCCTCTCTCCACCTCCCTCCTTTCCTTTCCGCCCCTTTGAGATGTCCACATCGTCTGTCGCTACTTCGATACAGGTGGCATGTCTGAGGCCAGAGGAAAGTTTACCTGCCCACACACCGTACCCCCCCTTTCCCCCACACTCCCTGGAGGTTGCCAAGAACCGAGGAGAGGGAAGGGAAGGCTGAGGCTCAGGAGCGTCCCATGCAAGCTGAAAGCCACCGTGGGGCGGGAGGCTCATGGCAAGCAGGCAGCCACCTGGTAGGCACCCTCGGCCGTGTGCTGGACGCTGTGCTCCTGCAGCAGGCCCAAGTCCAGGAACCGTTCCCCGCACCACATGCACTTGTACTGCTGCTCCCGGGCGTGCACGCTGTGGTGCTTGTTGAGGTGCTCACGCTGCTTGAAAGCCTTCTCGCAGGAGGAGCACTTGTAGGGCTTCTCGCCCGTGTGCACGCGCCGGTGGCGCTGCAGGTCCGACGCGTACTTGAACCGCTTTTCACAGTCGGGGCACTTGAGGGGCTTCTCGCGGGCCGGGTCGCAGCGGTGCTGCACGAACTCCGAGGAGGAGAAGAAACGTCTCTCGCAGAGCGTGCACTTGAGCGGCTTCTCGGCGCAGTGGGCCAGCTGGTGCTTCTGCAGAGCCGAGGCCCGCTTGTAGGACTTGTTGCACACCGCGCACTTGAAGGGCCGCTCCGCGTTCTGCACGCACTTGTGCCGCAGCAGTTCCGAGGACTGGTTGAAGCCTTTCTGGCACACGTTGCACTTGAAGAGGTTCTCTATGCCGTGCACGTGCTGGTGGTACACCAGGTGCGAGGGCTGCACGAAGCCCTTCTCGCACAGGTTGCACTTGAAGCGCTCCTCGGCCTTGTGCGTGCGGCGGTGGCGCATGAGCGCGTACTGCTGCTTGAAGCTCATCTGGCACAGGTCGCACTTGAAGGGCCGCTCCTCGCTGTGCGTGCGCTCGTGCTGCCGCAGGTCCGAGGGACGCTTGAAGGCCTTCTGGCACTCCCCGCAGCGGAAGGGCCGCTCCCCGCTGGGCGTGCAGGGGTGCTGCAGCAGCTCCGAGGATTCCTTGAAGTGCAGCTCGCAGATGTTGCACTTGAAGAGGTGCTCCCCCGAGTGCGCGTACATGTGGCGCACCAGGTGGGAGCGGTGCTTGAAGGTCTTCTCGCACACCGTGCACTTGTAGGGCCGCTCCGAGCTGTGCGTCCGCTTGTGGTGCACCAGGTGGGAGGACTGGCTGAAGCTCTTGTCACACAGTGTGCACTTGTACGGCTTCTCACCCGTGTGGATGCGCTCATGCCGGGACAGCTCCGAGAGGTGCTTGAAGGTTTTCTGACAGATGGAGCAGCTATAGGGCTTCTCCGAGGGGTCCAGAGGCTGTGAATGCTCTACCTCGGGAGTCTTGTAGGTCTTCTCACAGATAGAGCACTTCATGGCATTGCCGTTGTGGACATTGTGGTGCTGCGCCAGCGAGGTCAGGAGGGAGAAACCCATCTTGCAAACCCCGCACACAAAGGGCTTCTGCTCCACCTGGATACACTGGTGTTCGAGGAGGTCGGTGGCCTGGTGGAAGATCTTCAGGCACTGGGTACATTGGAAAGAGCGGTCATGGCTTGGCAAGCACTGGTGCTCATGGGGGTTGGAGAGGTGGGCGAGGTCATGGCCACACACACCGCACTTGTGGGATGGCTCTCCAGCCTGGATGGGGGCGTGCTGGTGGTGCTGCAGTCCGGGGTCCGGCTGGAGCAGGATGCCGTACACGGCACAGCCCAGGGGGTTGTCAGCAGTGCTGGGAGGAATGGAGTGCTCTGGGAGGGCGGCTGCCCCAGCGTGGTGCTGCTGCGGTGGCGGCGGCTGCTGTGGTTGCTGCTGTTGCTGCTGCCAGCTTTCTGACATGCTTGGGAAAAAAAATGGGATTTTAGCAGTGATAGCTTCAGCTTCCCGGATGAAAGGGTTCAAGTAAAAGCAAGACCAAAAGATTCTGAGATCCTGATTCCCTGTAAATGATCCCCTCAAGCTGAGACCAGAAAATCCAGCCCACAGCCAGGATCCTGGGAAGAAAAGAGGTGAAGAGACTCCAGAGCCTCCTCCTTAGACCAGCACAGGTTCTTTATGGACTGATTTGGTCTGGCTTTTCCTTCTTTTGGACAAGGGAACAGGAGGCAGAGGCAAGTGCCTTGAAGACGAGAGGAAGCCCTTCTCCGTGCTGGCTGCGATGCACTCCCACTTGTGAAGAGCACAGGATACAACCCAGGAAGCAGCTCTCTCTGCAAGAAAGAGGACAGCTCAAGTCAGGTCTTAGAAGAAATGTGGGCAATTCTCTATCAGCCTTCCCCCATGACTCTCTTTGAAAACTCTCCTGCAGCCCTGCAAAGCTACCAGGAAGCCAGCCTGGCACCAGAGCCCCTCTTGCTGCTGTGCAAAGGGCCTGGGACAAGGAGTTCTCAGCCTGGAAAGGGCTGAGCTCTGCTCAGATACAGCCAGGCACACGTTTGGGTGTTGTGCTCTCCCAAGAGGCAGCACAACTGCCCAGGGCCCGCTCAGCTCAGCCTTGAGTGGGTCACTGGATCTCCAGCACTGCTGTGGCACTGTCCCAGAACATCGGTCTCTCTGCACAGGCTATGCACCAAACGCTGTGCAATCAAGAAGCTACTGGGTTAGATTTTACACATGTCAGTGCAGATCCTAACATGATCCCACCCCAGCTGAAACAGCTCTGTGAAACGGTTCTGTTCCTCCTGCAGCCTGGATATTGAGCCCAATACCCAGGGGATGCATGCAAAGCATTTCCCCCTCTCTGGGCAGCGCTTGTAGACTGGAAGAGCCAGGGAGCTCAGGAGAATATTTGCCCTCAGTGTTATCCTATCCTCAGACAGAACCCACAGGGATCACTCTGTGAAGATAAAAGAAGAGTTAAAGCAGTGGCTTAGCTGAACCTCCTACCAAACCATGTAATAAAAGTACACTGAAGCCAACCAACCTACGCCAGAGCTGCAGCCTGGCCTTGCTACAGAGCATCATCAGGCTTGTGCTCACTGAAAAGTTCCAGCCTTTATAGAGATGTCCAATAAAACCTGGCACCAATTTAAAGAAGAATAAGACCCACCAGCGAGCAACAGACAGCAACCGTGTGAACACACCTCAAGAGAGAAAAAGGTGCAAGCCCTGGTGAACAGCAGCAAGCAACATTCCTGAGCCTTGAGCCCCCAGCCCCATAAAAGCATCCACACGTCTGTGTCAAACCACCTGCCCCCAGGGTAAGGAAATCCTTGGTATACCACAAGAATATTTTTTATGTTTAAAACTATGCAATAAAGAGCACCAGAGAATCCCACTCCCCAGCATCCCCACCTCCACCGGCACTCAGCTGAGACCAGGTTGAGCCCCACAGCTCAGGTAGTCCTGGACCCACCTCTGGCTATGGGGACACTTCATTATTTTGTGCTCCAGCACAGTTTGGGGCAGTAAAGCTCCCAGAGGCTCCATCGCAGCCCTGCCGGCACGCAGGATGCTCTCCTTCTCCTAGAGAGCTCACCTTGACGAAGCGAGGGCTCGCAGTGCCGGTACCTGCACCCGAGCTCGGCGGGACACCAAACTTCAGCCCAGCCCGGGTGCCACCTTCCCCCGCACACACCGCCAACCGGGGCAGGATGAACCCACCGGCGACGCAACCCGGCCGAACGGGGAGGGAAGACTGTGCCCCTCGCAGGAGAGAGCGATACCAACCTTGTCTTACCGAGGGCTCTGCGCGGGGACCCGCGTCGGCGCCAGCTCCAGCCTAACTCATCCCTCCGTGGGAGGTGGAAAGCGACAACCATTTAGGGAGCGCGGTCGGGAGCGCAGAGGTACTTTCAAACTGGCGAGGCGGCCTGCTCGGCATGGCCCGGCTGCTCCCGCCGGGCCCGGGCCGCCTCAGGGCCGCGGGGCGCGGGGGCGGCCGGGGAGCTCGCAGCCGCGGCCATGAGCGCCGCGCTGGTGGGGTACAGCAGCTCCGAGGAGGAGCAGGAGCAGGAGGAGGAAGGGGGGAGCCGGGGCCGCGGAGCGCAGGGGCCCCCTGGGACCAGGTGGGTGCGGTGGGGCGGCGGCGGCGGGAGCGCGCGGGAGGCGGCGGGAGCGCGCGGCCTTCCTCCTCCTCCTCGTTCTCACCCCGCTCCGGTCCCGCAGCGCCGGCCGCCCCCGCCTGCCCGCGCCCGCCGGCCTGCCGGGAGACCCGGACCCGGAGGAGGCCGTGAGCGATGACAGCTCCCGGCACGGCGGCCGCGTGCGCGGCTTCCCCCACGAGCGGGGCAACTGGGCCACGCACGTCTACCTGCCCTGTAGGTACCGGGATGGGACCGGGACGGGACCGGGAGGATGGCGGGACGGAACTCAGCCGCTGCTCCCCGGCTCCCGCCGGTCCCGGCTCCTCTGACGGCGCTGCCCCGCAGACATTGCCCAGGAGGAATTCCTGGAGCTGCTGGAGCTGCTGGTGTCCCGCGCCCGCACCTACGTCCCGTCGCTGGCTGCCATGGAGGAGTTCCACCTGAGCCTCTCGCAGTGCGTGGTGCTGCGCTACCACTGGATTGAGCCCTTCGTTCGCTCGCTCAGGGAGCGCCTGGCCGCCTTCCACAGGTGGGTTTGGCAGAGCCCCGGGACAGCGCTCCTCACACCCCTGCTCTGCCCTCGGGATCCGTGCTTTGCCAGCATCCATGCCCTAAGGTGTCCCTGGCAGCTGGTGCTGCGAACATTAAAGCCCTGGGGATTTTTCCTCACTGCCTCAGGATCTGTCGCCAGGTTTTGGCTTTCCAGGATCAGGCTAGAGCTGTGCCATCCTCTAAGCCATGGATGGTTTTGTTGCTTACGTCTGGCTCAGGCCCTGGCTGAGCATCAGCTGCTTCAGGGCTTCTGTCACTGTTCCGGCTTTGGAGGGCTGGAAATGGGAGGGGAATTAATTGATTTGGACCCCAAAATGTTCTGGTTGCACCAATTTGGTATGATTGCAGCATATATTTGCCTGTATCTTTCCATGGCTTGGTAACAGTCCTGGCCTCTCCTCATCTTCTCCTTTTTTATTTTTTTCCCTGCAGCTGAAATAGGATCTTTCTTATTTCAGGTTCTTTTGCGTGGCTGACCAAGTGAAGGTTTACACCAACCAGAACAAAACCAGGTGAGTGCACAGTGGAGCAGCCTGCCTGCCCCAGGACAAGCCTGAGCAAGTTGCTGGGTGGATGGGAAGTGTCACCCTGCCTGTCCCACGGCTGGGCTGTGTGACAACACAGTATGTGATCACCTCCAGATCATCTCCAGACATTTCACACCTTTCCCCAGCCATCTGTACAAATTTTTAGCTTTGGCAGTGATTCTCTGCAAGCCTTGGGTCACATTAGCCGGAATGCACAGCCTGGGGCGAGAAGAGTGGGACCACCTCTTTTGGCAGCAGTGCCAGTCGTGAAACAGTAGTGCAGGTCTTCCAAGAGCTGGAGAGAAATAGCTGAGATGGTGCTAATTCTCCTGGGCGCCAGCTCAGAAGCCTGATTCCAATGGAATGCAATTAATTTTTTTTGAATGTCAAAGGAAAGGTGATTAAAATTGCAGAAAGTTGCTGAATCTGGTGGGAAAGGCAGCCCAATATAGTCATGGGTAGGAAAAAATGGATATGGAACCTGAGTGATGCTCGAATCTTCTGCTTCCTCTTGGAAAGGAAGAAATGATTAGTCTCAATGACTCTAGAAAGTGTCATCCCAACAGTCCTGGAGGAGGTGCTGACTTCTTTGTCATATCTCTCCAGCTTGGCACTTCCCATTCCCTGCTTCCTCTCACACTGTAAAACCTCACCAACAACTTCCACTTTTTTAACGCAGCTCCTGCATGGGCATGGCACTCTGCTGAAATTCCCATCCAGTGCATCCTTTGCCTAGAAAACTGATTTTCATGTCCCAAAAGGTACTAGGCTAATCTAGTAAATCTACATGGTTTATCATCCAGTGCTGCTTCTCCCTGCTACCACATCTTCTGTTTTTCTTCAGAATACAATCAGCATCATTGTTTTAAACCTGGCATTCCCCAGATTTCCTTGTGTTAGGGAGTAGGGAACTTGCCCAGTAGGAATGAAGTATTCTCAGGGCTGTGCTTTCTGCAGCATGAAAGGGTGCTTGCTGTCTCTCCTTGCCTTTCTTTAGGACCTTTATTGGCTTGGAGGTCTCTGCTGGGCATTTCCAGCTGCTGGAGCTGGTCTCGGAGGTGGATGGCGTTCTAGAGGAATTTGACCTTCCCACATTCTACAAGGTGAGGCGTTTCCTGCTTGCTCCCCTGCCAGTCTGGACATGCCAGCTGGTTCCCTGCGAGATGTTCACTCAAATAAACAGGAGGCAGTTGCAGTGGCTGCCCTGCTGTGCATGGAAACAGGGCTGTCCTAGGATAGAATGGGCACTGTGGGACTGAGGACAATCCTTGTGTCTTTGCTTTGGGCAGCTTGCTTGGGCATTAGTCCAGCCTTTTTGCTTAGTACTAGCTTTGGGAACAGGTTTGGGATTTTGAAGGGCCAGACCCCAGTTTGTCTGTCTCTAGAGCCAAGCAGGGAGCTCATGTGGGTTATTCAGGCCCATGTACCTGCTCTGGGACCAGTTCTGAGAGATTCTTCAAGGACAGTGGGGAGAAGTTGAGCACAGAGCTGCAGAGTTGAGCACAGGGAGGCTGGGAACCAGGCAGCCTTGCCCACTGGTGTCCAGAGGGGCTGGGGTGGGAAGCCAGGACTCCTCTTGCCTCCAGCACTGTCCATATCAGCTCTGCAGCTGTTGAGTTGGCAGAGGGGACTCCCAGCTTTGGGATCCTCCAGCCTCTGTGATCCCAGGCAGGGCAGAAGCATCTCCCTCTATGGCTCTGTGCACTGACCAAAGCCTCCTTTAGCCCTCACATCCTTATCCCTGTTTTGCCCTCAGAACCCATCGTTCCACATCAGCTTGGCCTGGTGCGTCGGGGACCTGTCTGGCAGGCTGGAAGGGCAGTGTCTGCGGGAGCTCCAGGTGCGTCCCCACAGACAGGGCTGGTGTGGAGAGCAGGGGGAGGGCAGAGCTGCAGTCCAGCCACATCTCCCTGCCAGGGCTGGAGAGTGGGACATTCTCTTCAACCAAGCAGGACAAACTTCAGTGGGCTGAAAGACGAGAAGCTTTTGGAGGGAGCGTGAGTTAAATCACCCTCCTGAGGGAAGTCAGAGGCTTCCCAGCTGCAAATGGCTTTGTCTGTGACTTGCCTCAGAGAGGGAGCTGCCAACTCCATCCTCTGGCAGATCCACTTTCCTGGTACTGACTCCTGTCTCTGTTTTCCAGGACATTGTGGATGGGTTTGAGGAGTCAGCATTCCTGCTGCGTATCCAATGGGAGCAAATCCGCTGCAAGTCAGGGAACAAGTACTTCTCCTTCCCCTTGAGGTAGGGGCGGGTGGGGCTGTGCCTTTTGGAGCCTGGAAGAGCCTGACACCAGAACAAGGACCGTGGTCTGGCACAGCTCTGCGTGGCGTGGGCTGTCACGCACCTCTGCGCTCTTCTTGCCTGCTCAGCGTCTCTGCGGTGTTTGTGGCCTCAAGTCGGGCCACTTCCAGTTTGAGCTGCTGGCTGAAGAAAAGTGTGTTTGTAGCAGATTTCATCCTCGCTGCTGGATGTGCTGCCGTCAGCACTGGCGGTTCCAGAGATCCCACGGTCGCTAATTTCACTGACTTTTTTTAAAAAAGAAAAAAAAAATCTTCAAAAGCCATAGATGCCTTATGGGAAGGAGGAAGAAGGTAGCGTGGGAAGCTGCTACTAAAGGGAGAGTGTCTCACACAGTGGGAAGTAGCACTGCCAGATTGTTGGGAGGCTCTGGGCATGTTTTGAGTAGCAAGAGGGAAGAACATGGAGCTGGATCCTCTTCCCTGAGTGTTTTCCTACTGTAAGCCAGCTTGGACAAGCTCCTGAGTCATGTTGTGTCCCTCTCCCACTGCTGCTGCTGCCTCTGCAGAGACATTTGAGAGTCTGATCCTTTTGCCAAAGGACAAGAGCTTGCTGCCAGGTGTGGGTGAGCCCTGGAACGGACAGTGTCAGTGTTTGCCTAGGCTGGGAGGGCAGTGCCCACAGGTGAGTCAAGGGGTGGCGGCTCCTGCCCAGGCTCCACACTTTTTCCCCGTGTGATCAGCACCCCAGGTGGATGATGATCCAGGGGATTGCAGGCTGGACACTGTCCCTTGGGAGAAACTCCTTTTTAATCCTTTTGTCCTTGTGGCTGGTCAGCTGCAACTTCTCAGGTAGTTGGAACAGGATGCTGATGTGATGCCCTGAGTCTTTTATTCCATGTCTGTCCAGGACTTCTGAGCAGTAAAAATCCGTTTCCTTGTGTCATAAAATTGTGTCTGTGGTGTATTTCAGCTGTTTCCTTTTAGACATGCACAAGTCCTGCAGGCTTCACGTGATGCAAGTGCTCTGTAAGCTCCTGTGAGCTCCGTGCTGCCTGTCCTGGCACAGAGAGTGGCTTTGTCTGTGGGAGCATCTCCACACAGTCGGGATTTGTGTCCCTGGGAGCATGGCAGCCAGTTGCTGCTGCCAGCAGCCTTTTGAAGTCCTTAACAAAAAAATCTGTTAAGTCTTTAGCCAGTTAGTTTCCGGGATGGGGACCTGCAAGATAAGTTTCTTTTGGGGGAAAGAAAAACAAACAAAGAGATATATTTAGCCCCTGGGGACTTGAGCGAAACCGGTTTCTCCGAGGTTAATGCTCAACCACCGGCCCCAGCCGGGCCTGGCACTGCACCCGGTTGTGTAACGCCGGGTGTCAGAGACCCGCGGGACAGGGCACGGTGGCGGTGGGGGCAAAGTCGGGGGATGTGGGGGCTGCCGGCAGGGCCGATGCAGGCAGCGGGGCGGTGCGGGGCCGGTGCGGGCAGCGGGGCGG